TGCAATTAATCAAAAATCATTTTGGTAGGGTGAAGATTTGAATATTAAATTAATATTTGTTGATTTTCAAATTCATAAGTGTACGTAAAACATTTGTCATCATAATGTTATATATGAGTACAAGTATGACTAGGTCTGAAGAAAAGAAAGCATAATTTGAAAACCCTGTATTAAACAATTTCAGATTTATCATGAGTAGGAACTAAATCATTCTTTTATAACAGATCTGGTAAAGATAAAGTCTCGATATCCAGTTTAATACCTCCCGTCAGATGGTGCTATGGAAGCTTATTCGCTATCATGATGACACCTTTTCTTAGAGATTTCCCAGTAGAAAAAAAGTTATCCAGGCAAATGACACAAATATTGAACATGCTGTTAGGAAAGGCACTAAACAAATTTTAATAAAAACTTGAAAGTGGTGATATTCTATGAAAAATTGATCGGAGTAAAATTTAAATCGTTTTCGGAGAAAAGCGCTATACAAAAAGCTTATTTGGATATTCATTCAATTCTAACTAGGATTTTGAAAAACAATATGTTTAACATCCATCACGCTCATCGACAGATGGTACATGTACTTATAGTTATGATCAGTTTTGTTTTTCAAAGATTTGTTGTCTCCGGCTGTTTCATAGTTTATATGTTTACGAAAAATGATATAATAACGAACTTCAAATTACTGTTTAAAATAGCTTATTTAATTTATACAAACAAATGTTTATTTACCTCTATGTATTTATCTCGTCATCCAAATGCAGTATGCTAGCCTTCTTTGCATACATATGAACGTCAGGGCAGTTTATCTCATACCGGTATTTTGTTATCAAAGACTATTGAAACTATGATGACCGATTAACCCCATATCATATTTTTGGTTTTCCACAACGAAATTGGGGGAAAACACGTATGTACGGCCAAGTTACTTTGAACCTGACATGAAAAATTAAACTCAGACATAATTATCTGCTTAATTCCTATACATCAAAGTTTCAAAGTGGATGCTCACCACCACATTAAATATTTATTCACGAGATATTCCAACCACATTAAAAATTCATTCACAAGATATTCACCTATTATGACAGACAGTTACCTGTTATATATGTTGGTGTAGTTTAGAGGGAGACATAGGCAAAATTTTAATTTCTTAGTTTTTAATGTTTCATCTATTATTCTATAAATGTCATCAAAATAAACACACTAAACAGTCAAAAGAACAAAACTTTGTTCCATATAAAAAAATAAAATGGTGTTTTCCTAACTTGACCCGCGTGGGTCAGGTTAGAGCGCTATGATTTCACAATAGTTGTCACTGTGTACTCTGGAAACGTTAAAGAACATGTCAAATCAATTACTTAGACTTGTTTTAATCATACAATATCTGCAATACCTGTATAGTAACTTCCAGGGTTTGTTCAAAGCACATGACTTGTTTTTAAACTATTCGGTGATTCTGTTGGCGACCAAATTTCGTTCAACATATATAAATATATTTAAGCTTCAAACCCAAAATATATAGAATCTATACAGAAATTCATGCTGGGACTTTAGGAAAAGTCATTTTAGGGTGATTTGAGTACAGAAGATCATTTTTGTATTTTTGTCATTATTTTGCTTGTGTATCCCAGGTTGATGCGACCTTTCTACGCATGTTTTCCTTTCATTGGTAGATAATTACACAACTTGGTTGATAACCCCTATTTTTTCATCAACATCAATTTGTTTCAATCACAATTCTCTTAAATCATGCAACGTTTAAGAAAATTATCTGCCTAAGCTTAATTTTTCCTCCCTTACCTTTGTGAAAAATACTTAATTTGTTCCCATTATACTTTATACATTGTAAATTGTAACATTGAATTGAGATAACCTAACAAATGGTATACATATCGTATAAACACTGCCTATGGTTTTGAGATAACATCAATATTTATCAGCGTCAAAGTGAATTTGTTTTAATGATAAATTTAAATGAAACATAGTTCACATGTTGATAAATATCTGATTATATCGTCCCAGTACACTGTCATACCTTGACAAAAGTTTATATATTAGAGAAATGTATTGGTTAGCAATGTTTACTAGAAGCTTAAAATTTCCACGTTTCCGTAATCAGCTACGATTTACACGTTTGTTATAAATGATTTTATTCCTCGATACTTAAAGTAGTGGTATGTAATATTTAAATACTCGAGAAATTATTTTTTTTTAAATTTCTTTATAAAATTAATTAATTCTTTCTAAATTATATGCAAAACAAATGTATCATTCATTAAGTCAATTGCTGTTTTCTTTTCTTTTTTTAAGTAAAAAACTTTGATAACTATAATATGGCTTAGTCAATATTAACAAAAACAATACAATTGATTTTCATATTGTACCTAATCAATGTTTTACTGAATTCTTAAAGATAAGCCTTATTAGCCACAGATACAAGAATAAAACCATGCATATTTTCTGACATAATTGATGCAATGCCGATTTCAATATATACATCATTTATATTCTACGTTAATAAAGCAACAACAAAAATCTTCATTTCGATACGCAGTAAAATTTCGGGTTGTTATGTCAGAAGTTTGAATAGAAAACCATGGATTTTTTAGCAACATGTATTCCGGCAGTGTCACTTGCACATCTAATACAGCTAATAAAGTGATACATTTAATCGGAGCAATATTAATTTATTTCGAAAAGCAATGCACTACATGTATTTAAGATTAATTTACTATGTGCCTCCGTTTATAATTTCTGCTATGAGTCGAGTTTAGTTGACATTTAATTCGGTCTATTTACTATTATATCATTTATTTTGATTTTGAGTTCAATTTACATTATTACTTATCATTTTACCTCAAACTTGATAAAAAATGAAGATGACCTTTTTTCCAATAAATATCATATCATTATAGCAAGCAGTCTTCCATTTATCATACATTTTAAGAATTACATATTTCTAACGTATATCATGGACATCAAATAACCTGATATAGTTACATGTAATTTATCTTTCTTAATTACATTTGAGTTGACTAAATTATTAAAGCACAATTAAGTATCTTCCACATAAGCAATGGATATGACTTGGCCTAACTACATTATTCTTTCCATTTGCGTGTTACCTATACAATGTTTATAGAAAGTTAAAGAAGGAGTTTTGCCAAATTATATCAAAATATATGAAAATATTTGAAACAATTCATTTGACCTACTATTGTATTTTGTTGATCCAGAAAATGCTCGTTTCCCCGATATACATCAGTAAAGTGCATTTACAAGCTGTAAGTCTCCCTCAGGTTTGATATCACACTTTGAGTATCTTAAAAGCCATCAATAAGAATGCTTTCATTTCATTTATACTGAGTTTCCATATATCGTATTGCGATCAGAAGGCCTTATAAAATGGGAAAGATCATTACCTCAAGTTTCCCAGTAAGAAAGGTTAACAAATTCTAATGACTCGGTGTTCACATATTTTCTGTCTTGTTAATATCAAATTGTGTCAGTTATAAATTCTTTTTCAGTTTAACATTTGGTAACAAAAAAAAACCAGAAATGTATTGTCAACCTGTAGCAAAATAATAGAGTTAAGAGTGTTAGAGACTAGCGTACACTAGAAAATGTCAGAATCATCAATATCAAGATTATAAAAAGTGCCAATGGTTCATGATATTATTATCTAAATAGAGTTTGAAAAAGAACAAATTTTCCTTTTTATAATAACCAAAATATTTGGCATAGCGTAAATATGCAATAAATAAAATTTTGTCTGCTTTCTGTAGAGATTTGCATGTTTTTTCCTATCATTTTATCATTTCAGATACAAGACTTTTATTTACTATAATTGTATATTTACAAATGTATCAAGTGGCGAAACATGCAATTTTGAATTTTCGTCGGATTGTCTCAAAGTTGGCTAATAAGTGACTATTTCATGGGCATTAAGATTATAGACAACATCTTTTGTTAGCGTGTGACTTGTGATCAAGAAATTGCTTGTTTTATATATAAATAATTAAAAAAGTACATATTCACGTTTCAAATTCTACAGTATTTTTTTTTTATTTATTCGAAACGTTAACATCTGGCAAAGTATGCTTGAATTTGTACTTCCAGTGAAGAAAAGTCCATATATTTTATTCATTTTGTCTTATAATTTATTTATTCTTATGTTATTATGTAAAGTAGCGACAAAGTCTAAAATATATTTTCGAAAACCGTATAACCGAAGAGAATGCACTTAGAACCGATATTTAATAAGAAAATTACTACAAGTATTATATAATAGTACGATAGGCTAGGTCTTGTTCCAGAAAAGTTTGTGTCCGAAATGTCACAAAAAAGTGAATAAATTAACCGAGACTAAGCCGTCGCCTTTAATATCCCGTGCTCAAGACAGCAACCAATTTTTACATAATTTCTCAAAACAAAATTTTTCTGGTCGTCGGCATTTAAAATATATTTGATAACAAACATATCACTTTTACCCTTGAGATATTATATAGTCTTTATAAAACACAACACGAATTACGTTCACATTTTAACATTTGTCATTCACAAATAAGTGGCCACAATATCAGAAAATAATACATGGTATTTTATATTGTAAGTCTTTTTCATATTAAAGCAACGAAAAATTATTTGTATAAATTATGCTTGTGCTGAAAGAAAGTATCAAAAAACGACTCCTTAAACAATTGTTCGTTCTTATTGATTTTTGAACAAATTCTTCTTCTTTGCAAACTCTTTACATATATCATAAACATCAATGAAAACAATTTGAAAATTATCTTGTTAATATCTGTTCGTCGGTCCTCCTCCAAGAATGTAAATTAAAATGGTTCGGAAAAGTCAAAGTGAATAGGAAACACATTCTTCCTACCAAGCTGATTAAAATCATTTACAAAAACGTACGTGACTTACAATAAAACAGCCTATTGTTACTGTCACATAAGTAACTAAAACTTCCTGGTCTATACAAACTTTACAAAGAAAGGTAAATAAGCCCATATACTACGCATTTATAAACGAAAATATTTCAACTAGTTTTTGAACGCATTTGCGAAAAACAACTTAATTGCGCAGTTTAAATTTGGATTTACGAAATTTAAACAGGTAAATTCGTTAAATTTTTGAAACTTTGCTATTTGAGATATTTGAGAAATATATTAAAATGCCACTTAACGTTGATATTTAAAAGTTTGGGGTAAGGGAGTAATTTCATTTATCACATTGCATGCAAATTTTATAATTCCAATGAAATATTCCTTTTTCTTTATTTATTCAAACATTATTAAAAATTAATATTTCCTAATTTATATTTCTTAACCCTTTACCTCATATATACGCGAAACAACGCACTTTCGCCCCCCCCCCCCCTTTTTAGGCCTGAAATAGTGAAAAAATGTCCTATTTGGGCCCCAAACACATGTTTGCGTTTGAGAAATGTTGCTAAAAAAAGTGAGCACTTTTTCGGCGCCGCTCCCAATCCAAAAGATACATCAGGGGGTTGCCAGAAGGGGGATGTGCCCCCTTCTGTTTGGGGGTTTGAAGGGGGCGGAATCCCTCTCATCGCCAAGATAATTTTGGACTTGTGAGAGTCTAAAAATGATCCCAGGTCGATCATAATGTAACGTGTAACCAACGCTGAAAAGCCTTTGACTCTATCTCAAATCCTTGAGAAGTTGCAGCACTTTGAAATAAATTTTGATGGAAAAAATCGAGGCCAAATAGTGATTTTTGGCAATTTTGAGATGTCCCCTCGTTGCCATGGTAACAGGAAATCTAAGACTGAGCATGTCGTTACAAAGGCAAAGGTCTAGTCAACATTTGTGCCAAGTTTGATAAGTATTGAAGCATTTTTCATAGTTTCATAGCAGTTTGAACTTGTAACAGGAGGCTTTTCAGTGAAAACAGCCATTTTTCACAATATGCTCATGGGGGAAAGGGTTAAGAGTCGTTTTATTATTTTGATTTATTTATTTTGCAAGTAAATCTGTCTTTTCATGTCTTGTTATTTCGCTATAGTACATGAATAATTTTTCGTCCAATGAAAGTGTACTTTAGTACCTGCTATAATCAACTTCTACGTATTTTACTGACAAAGAGACCTTAGTGGAGCATTGTTTGCTCGTTAAGAAATTGTTTTGCAAGATCTTGTACTCTTCCTTTAGGATTGTTGAAATTTTCATCACCATTATTAATACCTTGATTGCCTTTTGGGTCTATGCTTTCCAGGTACATTTCAAACGTAGCCCTGTCCCTCTAATTGTTGCATCTCTACACGTCCACCTCACCACTTCGTGATCCGCAGTATCGTTAAGGCAGTCTTTGCTTGTTATACCCTTTGGTCAAATTTATATTAGATTACATTGATAATTGCTACACAGACTGTTTGTAAATATAAAACAAACATGTTCTGACTTAACATGAAGCAGATATTTCCTGTTTAAAATATTTTACACACTAAAGGTGGTCACAATATTAATAGGGAACGCAGCTTCCCATACCTAGTTTATTCATTCTTTTATATAAGTAAGAATTTCATAGATTTAAATAAAATTATGTGATTAAAATATTTTACTCAAAGATGTATATTAAGTATAGTATCTTTCACTCGTAGGCGCATATCTAAAGAGATCAAGTCATCTACAAATGACTATGTCTCTATTACATCTATATGTGCGGTTGGATAAGGTTAATTCATTAGCTCTGAATGTCTGAAATGGACTCACATGGTCTCTACGTCCTTTAAACTACACTTTGTTTAGTTCTGTCTGATAAGATTGGGCAAAGGGATCTTTTGAAACAACTATTAATTCGTAATAGACACCACTAAGTACGCGCCTTTTCATGGTCTGATCATTCATTTAATTTTGCGCATAAATCGAAATCTTACAGTCAATCCAGGATCATAATCATTATAAATACCCCTTATCGTAACAAGTTATTTGATTGAAGCAATGTTATCTTTTTAAAAGTGCACATCTCCTATTAAATTGCTCTTCAGTTCCTTATAATTTTTTGAATCTGATATTGTTGCTGTAACCTTCGTTGTCTAAATGTAACGGATTTATTATAAAGTATATCAAAATTCTGGGGGCTTATATTCTTTGTCATCTTGTTTAACTGGCATGTACTTCATGATGCCCTAATGTAGGTGTTGGCGGTGGATGCCTTTGTCACCTTCTGTAATCTAGAGCTGACGCAAACAACTTTCTTTTTTACATATATTTAAGTTTATTTAAGTATGGAGGATATTTGGGTACTTATCTCCTCAATATTTGTTGAAAATTCCATTGTTTCTTTCCGTCCCTCAAAAGAACAAATTTCGTGATGTATCTTAAATAAATAAATTACTTAACCTTCGCGACATAGATTGTGGTCATGTGCTACTTACTTTTATCCGCTACAAAAATGGATTGGTCTCATAATTTCCTTTAAGTCCCAGCAATAACCAAACCAATTATTTAAAATTTAAGTCACAACTAAATATATGGCATACGTAATTAGACATTCTACATAAGTAATTAGCCTATCGGAATAACAGTAAAAAGTATTTGGAAAAGACTTAAGGTCATTCTGGCAAACTCACAGTTTTTGGTAATATTAAACCCAATCAAAAAGGCGATGTATTTAATACACATATGTTTTATTTTTTATAAGATTTTTAACTTAAATTAATTGAATATTCACATAATCACATTTCACTTAACTTAATGATGATTGATGTGGAGAAGTTTAAATTAAAACACGACCAACATCTAATATTTAAACCTGCAAGCTTGTACAAACTACTGGTTATTGATTTAAGTGAGAGGTACTCAATTCTCAACACGCAATAGTGTTGGCCTCAATGATCGCGAAGAAAGATATTACAACACAGAAGTGAAGTACGTGGCAACTTTTTTACAAATGCCACACAGCACTTGACACCTGCAGTTGTAAAGTATAAAAATCTTCAAACAAAGTGATGAAAAAGTGAAACCAATGCTTTCATGGTGAGAGAGCAAGCATTTTCGAAAAGGGCTTTAAATATAAATAAGTTTCATGTCTATTGTGCCGGACTATATTTGATAAATTTACTTGGGACAAATGTTTTTTCTACAATGTATATAAAAGGCCTGAAATATTGACAGAGATAACATAGATTCAATATTTAAATGTTACATTGTAAACATACTCATAAATATCTGATAATTGAGTTAATGGTTTTTAAGGTTTACACATGCGAATAAATTACCTTGATCAATATTCTTTATCTTGCGTGACATCTTGTAATTTAGCCCGCATTATTGAACCAAATAATGTGTTTGCAACTGATGTCAAACCATGCTAATGACGACGCATAAAATGCTAATTGTAAGCAATTGTATGTTGTATTGAATCTTCATTAGTAATGCAAAAACCATCAAATGAAAACATAACTTGATAAACATAAATGGAATTAATATTCAGGAAACCTGTGTTTTAGTTTATCTTATATGTTTTGGACGTTTAAGTAGCTGCAAAATTCGAAACTTTTGAAACATTGTCCGAAATCTTTATCTCCAGTGAAATATTAGACAAAGAGAAATGTCAGGATATTGGGAGAAAATATCGGGTGCATCAGCAAAATATATTCCTGCCAGTACCAGCACCACACCAGTTGCAGCAGGTGGAGCATCAATATTAGGTCTTGACAGAACATTACCCGGAAGGCTAACAAATTTATCAAATCAAATTACAGATTTCCAGACCGTACGTACTTTTATTTGTTAATATGTTTGATTGACATAGCTAAGTTTAAACGTGCTACGGTAAAATAATATGAAACCACGTTCTTTTAAATTAATTGAAAGATTAAAAAATATAGTTGAACTATTATATTTCATTTAACTAATTCCAAGTACTTACATCAACGAATATCTATCTATTGCCAAAACAATGATAAAGAGTAGACTGGATCATATGACTGTCGAGAAAGAATAGATAAAAAATGTTCTTTAATTTTTATACTTTCAAATGTATTTTTTGTGACATGTTCATGCTAATTTTTCTTACAGGAGTCGTTGATCAACAGCAGAATTAATTGTGGACGAAGAAAAAGACCGTCATCTGAAACACTGATGCATGAGGGTGGGAAAAGACCGTACCAAGTAGCAACTGTTTTATCGGAAGCAAGTAAAGCAGCAACTGTACTTCCATTAAAAAGTGACGAAATGAAAGTGGCCCCGTTCCAAACGTTACCGATGCCCGAGAGAAATTTTTCAAGTGCTGTAACTATAACCAAACATAGCCACAACAGCGGATTATCTAAAGCCACATCGTTTACAGAATGTTCTCCCGGATCATTAACATTAAACAAAACTGGATGCGAATTTTCTAATCGGAAAAAGAACTTACTAGATAATATCTTTGAAAAAATTGCACTTGATAAGGTTGACAGACAACATTCTAAGCGCCTTGTCGATCGAACACTGAAATCAATTACTTCAAAATTTGATAGATTTCAAGGTGGCGGAATCTACAGACGTCAATATATTGATGCTGGAAGCTATCCTGTGAAACTGAAGATAAACAAAGCTGATGAATTTGACGTCAATATACCTCTCAACATTGACGTAAAAAGAGTTCGAGACACTGGCAATGTGAACTACGTTTTCAAAGACGTGAGTTTCTTGTCCTTGCTAGATTGTGTCATGAATTTTAATAATAAATTATTTAATCAATAATAGATTTTGAAATACAAATGACTCGCTTTTAGCCTTTCTTGAAGTCGACTTTATTGCGAAAAAATATTAACGTAAGCATTAACGTTTGAACTTCACAATTAAAAATTGCTCAATTGGTAATTATATTTTTAAGATAACTATTTATGCACGATGAATAAACAGGCAATAAGTGTTGAAGCAAACGATTATGTATATCTAAAGTTTTGCTATCACTGTTGGCTTGATATCAATTTCAGCAAGGACTACGTTTTGCTATCACTGTTGGCTTTATATCAATTTCAGCAAAGACTAAGTTTGTGTTTGGAGAAACAGCTTTTCTTTAATCATCAAGGAACGGCGATTCCTCCGGGCTATGCTGTTGTTGAAGTAGAAATGTTTATTGGAGGATGTTATCATTTCCTGTCACGAAAAAGAAATGAACTTCCGAGAAAGTTCTTACATATTGGTCTTCCAATACCTCGGCAGGATGCTCCACATCGTTACATGTTCCACCCCAGATATCGTAGATTTGGCTTCATGGATCCATTACAAAGATCAAACAGAAGTTCAAAATTTCAAGACCGTATTGAACTCATTCCAGCTGATGTTAAGAGAGATTTTTTTGAGAAAATACAAAGTGCAACATCTTTTCCATGGAATCAACGTAAGTAGAAAAACAAATATATCATTTTCAAAGTAGAAATAACTATTGATTGTTTCAATCTTATTTTGGTATAAAGTAACATAGCTGATATTTCAGATAGTTCTATGGAAGATAAAAGTTCAACGTAAGTTGTCCTTTCGTCGCAAAAATGCAGATTCTTTGATGAGGACTAAGCAATATCTTACATTTTCTAACAATGCTTGACACAATACTGTTATCCTACTTTGATAAAAAATTGTTAATGTCACTAGTAAAAGTGTTGTTACATGGAGTCGATGTAAGGTTGACTTTATTTTAAAAAGGGAAATACTGCATGCATTTGAGCTTCCTTACTCCATCATTCGTTATTTATTCCGTGTACAAGTATTTGGTTATAAGACGAGTTTTGTTGAAATTATACACGCTTTAGTTTGGTCCACAGTGTAATACAATGTACACATATATTATTTTACTTTGTTATTATACCTTCAAATCGCGTATCAGTTTGGTGTATAATAACTTATCTTTGATATTAGTGCGATTACGTTACATTTTATATCATCATTTTAGACACGACATTTTGAAACAAATATCTTATCTTTATGGCAAGCAAACCGTTTGCTTTCTATTATCAGATTCAGTACATATTTCTAAAGTATCTCATGGACCGGCATTGACAATGACGTTGGTGCCATTTCAAGGTTCACCAGTAAAGCACAACATTAACGTGGATATTACCCTGTCTTTGGAGTGCGATATACCTCTGTCGAGATTTGGATGGCCGAGGGAAAAAACAAAACAAGCGTTTGAGCGGGATGTTATAGATGAAGTTTTGAACGCAGGAATACATCTTGTACCAAAGAAAGATTTATTTTGGGCGATATCTTTCTCGAAGGCAGAACGAGCTCTTCTATCGCGGTTGGATACAGATGGCGGCTGCAGAAAATATGTTACTAAGATAATGAAGAAGTTCGTGATGAATTGTAGCTCACAGTCCACCAATGGACTTCCTGGAATTTCCTCACATATAATAAAGGTACATTCATAGCATTGATTCATAAATATTGACGGTTAGCCTCCGATTAAAATGTAATTATAATCATTATTTGAGATACAACTTATGAATAGTATTTTATTTCATTTTATGTATCATAATTAAAAATTGGTATAAGTTAGCGACGTCATACAAAATTAACTTGTTATTTGCGATAGTGGGTGGAAACAAAATTATGATATATGTACATGTAATTACGCTTAACTGTACAGATAAATTTAACGTTTTTTTAAACAATATAAATAACTTAAAATCGATGTCACCTGTAGTTTCTTTCTTTCTGTCGTTTTTCTTTCTTCCATACTTCTTTCTTGCTTGTGTTTATAACTACCAATTGAAATCATTATAAAGTACACGCTCTGTTGACATCTTTAGTTCATTTGGTATTGTACCCTGAAATATGCATTATTTAATTATTCTAAAAGTGCAAACTGACTGCGTTCGATTCAATGTTTTGAACACAGAGTGGGATAATCTTATTATATTATTTTGATCTTCAGAATAAAAAAAAATTATATTCACATAGATTTTACAAATTTAAATCATATTCATCACCTGTTTATGTGACATCACAAAAATGTTCTTATGTATTATAACAATAAACTCGATTCAAATGTATCTTATGCCTCCATGTAACATAACTGTTAATTCAATATGTTTCTATGCTTTCTTCTAATATTACTGTTAACTCGGTTCAAATGGATAGAGTAGCAGCGTGGCCGAGTGGTGAACGCATCGGATTAGTAATCTTAAGATTACTGACCGCGTGGGTTCATACCCTGTCAGGGGCAAAACGTCGTTTCCTTGAGCAAGAAAGTACATTTCTTACTTATTACTGGTTAGTTCCTGGAAATGATTCGCAAGTGTTCCAATAAGCTTCCAGCATCCAAAACAATCGAACTATAAACTGAATGGATTGTGTGCTTATGTAATGCAGCGAATTGAACTATTTTTTTCAGACACGAATCCTCTGGTCTTGTGAAGAACACAGCAACGTGCCATCGTACTGGTGCTATTATAATAGAGATGTTTGTTTGATTAACACGCTGGAAGAGTTCATCAATGACCTGAATTCAAGATGGCTGCCAGAATATTTCAACTCTGGTATAAATATACTGCAAGACAAAGATGTCAGCGTACTCAACACGCTATCGTCTTTTATGAGGAGAAGACAAATAGAACTTTTAAACATGTAGAAGTTTAGAAGTGAACTTGGGTAATACTAGAGGTTTTGTATTTTTTAAACGGTATAGGACGATTTATAAATAACAATATATAACAAGGCCTACGTACAATGTAAATTTAGATTGGACTACAAGATTATAATCCAAAGTTATAATAGAAACATTTTTAACAAGCTAATTATTATGCTGGCTGAATAAATAGATATCCCCTGCCATAAGATACAAATCACTTGACTGATTCCTTTTAAATATGAAGTGCATAATAAGAGTTAAATTGAATTATGATTGTACAAACTCACAATACTGCAAATTGCTAAGCTAAAATGTTCTTGTTAAAACATCCTTTTAAGATATAAATGAATTATTGACATTTAAATATTATCATAAAGTTATGTTATTTCATTTGGTCACTTATCTAAAGTGTGTAACTAATAATTGCTATTATAAAATTCAAATTTTGCAAAGCATGAGCATTGATTGTATGCTCAATTTCAAGGAATCCCATTACACCCCAGGATTTAATGTAATTTTCACTTACTTGGCAATGATACTTGTAAGATTGACATGTATCTTACATGAATTCATTAATTTTATAGAATCACTATTAAGATTCTGATAATCTAACAAATTACAGCTACGTAAATGTAAAGGTAAACCTATATTTTCAGTGGAAAAACAATGTTTTTGTATGTGTAAACAATTAATGGATGTTTTGATTTATGCAGGATTTATGCAATCATTTTTGATTATCAAATGACATGAATTGCCGCTTCATGTAATTGAATAATATTAATTGGAGTTGCATACATTGCTTTTATATACTTGTAAACATATTTTAAACGCATTTTGAAATGTACATCTTTATGATTTTAATGTTTCCAGTATAACACTGTAACGATAGAAGGTAACTGAGCGCGATCCCCCCCCCCCCTTTTTGTTGTCTCAGATGGTGAAAAAATGCCTTATTTAGGCCCCAACACTTGTTTTTGTTTGAGAATGTTGTCAAAAAAGTGACCTCTTTTTCGGCACGGCCCCCCAACCAAAAGATACATCAGGGTGTTGCCAGGGGGGATGTGCCCCCTTCTGTTTGCGGGGTTTGAAGGGGGGCGGAGTCCCCCTCATCGCCAAGAAAATTTTGGACTTGTGGGAGGCTATAAATGACCCAGATTGATCATAAGGTAACGTGTAACCAACGCTGAAAAGCATTGAGAAGTTGCAACACTTTGAAATCAATTTTGATGGAAAAAAATCATCGAAAAATAGTGATTTTTGGCAATTTTGAGATGTCCCCTCGTTTCCATGGTAACAGAAAATTTAAACCTGAGCATGTTGTTGCAAGGGCAATGGTCCAGTCAACATTTTTGCCAAGTTTGATTAGTGTTGAAGCAGTTTTTATAGTATTATAGCAATTTGAACTTGTAACGGGAGACTTTTCAATGAAAACAGCCATTTTTCACAAAATGCTCATGAAGTAATGGGTTAAACCGTTTTGATCATTATTAACACCCGAGTACAGATAGGCTTATCTGATTGTTAACAATATTACATAAAAGGCGAGGTATGTTTCACTAAAATTTGCATATTTGTTGTAAATAACACAAAATGACTGTTATTGTAAATAATTAAAATTGATGTATTGATCAGAATACAAAACCATTTGTATACAAAATGTGCTATATTGGCTAACTTCTTGATCATAATTAATCTATATACTATGTGTGTGTGTTTAAGGTAATACTTTCACCGTATATATTTTGAGGGTGTACATAATGTGTGATCCCAGCTAATTTATTCAATTAAAGACTAGAGATATGGGTTCTTCCTTCTATTTAAGTAACTGAAGAAATTGACATATATATTTACTTCTTAACAAAAAAACATCAATTCATATAACATTCAAGTTAAGCATATATGATGGAGTCGATATACTGGTCTGTCAGCAAAGGTAGCACATATTTGTATATGAATTTCCCCATTCATTGATGTTTTGTATTTACTATTAAATACAAACATTTAAGTTTACCCAATAAGAAGTCCGTGTGAACTAAAAGTAATTATGAAAATAAATCTAAAAAATAAATAAATAAATGAATGAGATTTTCATAATCTGTCAGATAGAAAATTCATGGATACCGATTTTTATTTTGACTTCATTTCGACTTTAATAACCCGATCTTTTAAAATGATGAAAAATTGTTATTGGCTAGCTTTTACGTATGAAAGTATGAAATATCATCATCTCGTAAACGGATGCTGGATAGTAAATGTGTTCATGATGAGCGACAAAATATATGAGCCGAATGCATGTGATATGCATCCAATAAAAATCTTTACTTTCGATTTAAATCAATTTACTTTCGATTTACATAGATATTTTGTGTTAGTAGCGTTTTCAGAAAACTAATTGTGTCTAGCACATACATAAATATTCAATACTTGGTTATTTTCGGTTTGAATGTTTACATGCATATATATTATGCTGATAACGGAAATTACATAAAGTCATATCTAAATTTAGAAACTTATACGTGGCTTTAACCAAATCAAAATCGGTATTGCATTTCTGATCAGGAAAAGAAATCTGAAAGTGAGGTTTAAAATGTCTTGTAATATTTGTGGAGAAAGTCGGTTTGGAAATAGTGCACAACTAAATTGTCATGGCATTACAAATCACGCATTATTTTCTTGTACCTGTAACAAAAAGTTCATGGATGAGGAAAGTTTGGATAATCATAAAAAGCAGATGCAGGAAAATGCAAAACCCGAGCAATGTTCAGGATGTTGCCGATCGTTTGTAAACAAAGATGACATGTATCAACACAAAAGAAGCACAAATCACTGGATGAATGATGAAAGGGAAAATGCTCAAAAAGAAACTAATCGTGTATTCTGTGACGACCGATGTGGTAAAAGCTTTAAGTCAGCAAGTGCATATGCAGATCACAAGAGAGATATAGCTGCAAAATTTGAATTTCGGACAAAACATGCCGTGGGGCGACAAGACGTTTCTCGACAAAAGCAGGCTTGACCAGCATAAAAAAAGATACTGGCCACAGCTCAAAACCTAACTCCGAGCGAAAAGAATATCTTGACAATTTTCATAAGAGCAAAGTTGCTATCAGTAAGGAGGATAAGAAATCATCTGTTAAACGTGTTGACGGAATACTTCGGCCAATTATGAACCATGTGAAGAAAGCAGAGGGAGGTGAATTTTATTGCCCAAATGTGGTAAGAGCTGGCAGTTTTCCTGTGAAAACTAAGATTGGAAAACCTGATGAATTTGATACAAACATTGTTTGTAACATTGTCCCCGATAATACAAAAACCCGCGGAAAGGTTGATTTTGAATACCAGAAATTAAACGAAAGGGTATTTATTTATTTATCTATTTATTTATTTATTTATTTATTTTCCTATTTAGCCCCCAAAGAGTGCTCAGTGGCGAGCTTTTGTGACGACAAGTCGTCCGTCGATCGTCGTTTGTCATTTATCGTTCTTTATTGGTAGCTGGATATGATAAAATCTCCACAGGAATGATCTTACGATAGCTTAGATATCGTCTTTGGCTTGTAGCATTGTCTTGATGACCTTTACAACAGTTATATAGGTCATGTCCTCATGGTCATATAGTTTGTATGTAGACGTGCCTTAAACATTTTTTCGTTTGAATCTTCTACTACCAAGAGTTGAGATATAAAATACATGTAGAATAAATGTGTGGTCGTTTACAAAAATTACGTAATTCGTAACCCTTGCCTTGAATTTAACCCCGCCCCCGGATAACTTATGTTATGTAGGGTGATATAGGAAAACACATTTTTAAAAGCCTTCTTGAGTGAAATTGCATTGTTCATAGCTAACTTATTTGGCATGTAGCATTTCCAAGCGGACATGTGCACATTTTTAAAAATTACGCAGCTTTGGTAAATAATGCTGTGACCTAATTACTGACTGTTATCATCGAACAATTGTGACCCTGTCAAGTAATATATCTCAGGTGCGATCCAGGGCCATCATGGCTTTTTCAAATCGTCTCATTATATTTGAATTCTAAACAGATCTACTAAGTGGTATTCTTATTATAAATCAAAAATTGGTAATATGATCGTTTATCCAATTTAGGTTAAATAAAATCATATCTGTGGTGTCATCATTTCCATCTATTTTGAGCTGATTTAATTTCTTCTCACAGATGGGGAAATCGAACAATATGAATATAAAGATGAACCTGAAAGACATTCCTGGTGGCAAAGAAATACCGATGGGATACGCAGTGGTAACAGTTAAAGACGGCACCGTCCCTGCAAAACTTACGTACAATGGACATTTAGTTCCAAGAGAAGTAAAACAAGACCTTTATGGTAAAATTAAAACTGCTGTCAAAGATATAGGGATGAAAAGTAAGTGATTAAAGTATCCAGGACTTTAGTCTAAAAATGCCGATTTGAATTAAACATTTTTGTCTCATAAACGTTGTACTATACTTAAAGACAGAGAAACGTGATAAATCACTAAAAAATTTACCTCTAGAAAAAGAAGGGGGACAAATAGCTTCGTTGCGTGCAGCTAACACTGCAGCAGCTGTTTTTACCTTTTAAAGGCTGTATAAATGTATATCTACCTTTTTTCATCTACAGTATAATCTGTTTAAGATGACCATTAATTGGAGGGTTGAAAAAAGAAAATTCTACATCTAGAAAGGTTTTACACTTATAGCATATGTAAATGCAGCAAAAATTGAGAAATAGCCGTGCTGTGCATAAAACATCAATTTTTGAATTTTGCGATTCCGATTTTTACCCTGACTTTCACAATGTCGTGTTTCATATATCAAAATGAAAACATGAAGTGGTGGTTATTCAGATATTTACGTAGGAGTATTTAAATCTTCATTTCAATGTAGATACAACTTTAATTTTAATGCTAAATGAATCAACGGTATCCTGTGATTTGCAACATAAAATGTTAATTAAGAAGTGATGGTGTAAAATATAATTATGTTGCAAACAACTATTAGATGTATCTAACATAAAAAATGCACTTAGATATAGTTTAATACATGTATTTTCAATTATTTTTAACAAAACGGAAGAACAGATGAAAATGATTTTTGCAGATGTGGATGTGAGTCGTAACGCCCACGGACCTGCCTTGACGTTGAACATACATCAAGGTCAAGGTCTTCATGACATAAGTGTCGATATAACACCATCAATTCCGTGCAAGGTACCTGTGACAGATAACGGTTGGCCTCGTCCGAATACACGTAAAGCTTTCGATAGCCGAGTACTTGATGGCATTAAAACCACCGGGACACACTTAGTTCCAAAAGGCGATAACGTATGGGCAGTTTCATATTCAAAAGCAGAAAAAGCAGCTCTTTCAAAGATTGATGAGGGAAATGGCTGTCGGAGAGAGGTCAATAGAATAATGAAGAAGCACGTCCAGGATTGCACATCTCGATCGAAAGATGGTCTTCCGGGAGTTTCCTCACATTTGATAAAAGTAAAGCTTATTTGAGTTTGTTTCTTTTGTATTTTATTCAGTTAACGATAGTAATGTAGTTTCAATTACCATTTCATAAATCTCACACATTGACCTAAACACAGTCCAAGCATTTTTTAAGAAAAAATAAAGTTCGTTTTGGCTAAGTTTAATCTTTTTGTAATTGTTTTCCAAAAAAAATATTGAGTAAATAGATATGGTCAATGATCGTTTAAAATGTACTTAAAATTTATTTCACTGTCATAAGTTCCGTTCCATATAAATGTAGGATACATTTGTATCTCATAATGCAGGTAAGAAAGTGTTTTATCTCTTTCGTTATCAACTGCTAAATGTCCTATGATTGCTGCGGTAAACAGTAGTATGATAAATTAGCAATACCAAAGTAATCCATCAACTCCTTTTGCAAAAGTAACAGTGAAGTACGTTTTTTTTGTGTTTGCAACATATCGAATGCTATAATATATATTTCTGAAACTTCAAATATCATTTGTTTTTGATATTTTCTTTTTAGCATCAAATTCTTTGGTCTGCGGAAAAACGTCCAGATCAAAATTACTGGCAACATGGCAACATTTATAACTGCCTGATTGATACCATGGGGGATATGGCATCAGCCCTTGATAGAGGAAAACTTCCAAATTACTTCAGTAATTCTGAAAACATTCTACGTGGGAAAGATCCTGGAGTTCTTCGGGAACTGAGTGGTCATTTTAAGAGAGAAAAGGAAAAGTTATTACATATGTGATATGAATAACTTGTTTGTTATAATGCTAACTAAACGTTTAGGAATTTGGAATGTTTAAATAGAATATATACAACCTTCCAGCTTTACTTTTACACAGTAAAATGATGAATTACAAGTACACATTATAACTTATTCGTTGTGTTATTGAATATGTAAATAATGTTTATTTGAATTTATAGTATCATAGAGTAATAATAATTTAGCGCAAATCGATTATGTTGATTCATTTTCATCGCATGTCAAACATGAAAAACAATAATACGAATGAAGAAAATATTCATAAATATATATATATGTGTAAAACCAAGGTTTTGTCACGAACATACATTAAGCAGTTTCAGCTTTTCTTATCAGTCTTTAGTTAACATCGCAAATTCACTAACGAACTTGTCTGAGCAAATTTATTTGAAAATACAAAGTAAAAATTCAGACATAACTGAATAAAACTTTGTAAGATGCTATAATGATGTATACTAATACACCAATTGCTTCCTTTTTAACTATGTTTTGTTGTTCAATATAAAGTTAAAAAAATACAATATTTATTTTTATCTTCTTACAGTTACACTTCCATAGTTACAATACAACTTTTTTAATTGACTATATAATTATGTAATAAATGATATAACTCTCTAGTAATTATGTAATACAGTATAAAAAGGGTTGTTTCCCTTTAAAAGGTAAACATGTTTGTTAAATTGTTATTAAATATTAGATAAATAATTTTTCAATCAAAGCTAAATCTAAGTTGGTACTTAAGTTTAAATCAAAGTCTGCACATATAATAGTGTCTTTTTTCATTAGGATTTCGTTTTATATTTTGTGTTGCATCATTTATTGTTCAAATGTTATGGTCAAATTTCTCAGTTGTAGAATTACTTATAGAAGTGTTCATTACAAATAGATTGTTGTTAAATATTCTCTCAGCTTTTTGTTCCCTTTTGATAATTAATTTCCTGGACATTGTCCGGAATTTCCCTGCAACAACAGCAATGAATTGCTGAAGAAAAATACTTTATAAAAAAGAACCTTTCTTCAATGGGTTGAGCCCTGAAAATATGAAAATTGATTTTATTTTTATAAATCAACTGCATGGTGCTCTTGACACAGAAAACTATGCAAGAGATAATATGTAAATGTATCCGATACTAAATTGATTATAGATTTTTATACGGTTTTGGGGCCGATTTAAGTGGTCTATTTTTTCTTGCAGCCCATCAAATTACCTACACGTACAAGTACGATACGCCGAGTACAGAAATGGCAAAAATGCCCCAGGTTAATATGTGCAAAGATAAGTGTGAAATGTATCTCTCACATTAAATGCATATAAAACGTTTTTGAAACGTTCATGCAGATACAATATAATTATTTTATATACATAAAATTAAAAGTAGAAAAACCTGTACACTCAATATTTTCTTAGAAATTATATATGATCTACTTAAAGTTTCGAAGCGAACTTAAAAAAACTGATAACCCGTTTTGTTTGCGTAACTATACTTGTATAATACTTATTTAAGAATTGTTTGTGAAATTTTTTCACTTGTCTCTTCCCTCGGTAAGTGTACGTTGTTGAGAAGACACAGGGCATCGGCAGATGATTGAAGAATCAATGCCACGTGTAAGACGGCAACTACAGCTCGGGGTAACGTTGAAGGTAGCACGACTTAGCTTGCATGAAGTTAACTGCCTGTTTGAGGGGAGTGGCCCTACAAAGTAGGCTCTGAGGCGACAAGAATGGTGTGCTTGGGTGCGTGAGCCCCTAGCACGATTAGACGGCTTGAACGGCAGGCCTTTTGCTGGCACCAACAGCCCTTTTCAGGGTTATACCCTTTCATATTGTGTCAGGTTACTGTACATTTACAGTGACCTTTTTTTTGCTCAAAATTCATATCTTATGCTAATACTCCGTGGAAATTGCATGGAGGTAAATTATCACCACTTTGTGCTTTAATATTAACTCTTTAAAGGCATGATCGACTGGTGACATGTCCGGGGTCCGTACTCGACAGCAAAATCTGCATTTTTTGTCTGAAAGGGCGGAGGGCGGATGGACCGTCATTAAGCATAAGCTGTATACATACATACATACATACATACATACATGCATACACCCACGCACGCACGCACGCACGCACGCACGCACATACATACATACATACATACATATATACATATCTGTGAAATTTGCGTCCTAAATGATAATAATAAAGAAATGGCATATTTATATTGTCTGCCCTTTAATTATAGTATTATATTAACTTATAGCTATTACACATTGTGTGGCTAAGAAAACTATATTGCCCTTGATTTATGCGTCACTGTGAAATACGGAAAGTACTTCTAGCTTCGCGACATGCTACAGAGAACAGTAACTGTTGACCGATGTAATTCTGAAATTGATAAAGGTCCATAATTTTTATAAATATATATCAAAAGTTAATAGTTAACATTTTAACTGAATAGTCAGTGAACTTGTTAATTTTTACAATCAAGTTACACATAGGTGACATTCCTCATTACTCATCTACTCTTGATAGTTACATTTATAGAGGTATGTATGGAATAATAAACTTATTTCTTATATATACTTATAAAAGAAATATTGATGAAAAAAATGCGTATTTTCATTTTCCGTATTTTGACTGTAAAAAAAATATTTTTCACGCAGTGAAACATATTTTCCGTATTTTCACCGGTGCCTTACCGGACTATTTTCTTTAAAACTATACCAGTACACACAATTTAAGGGAAAGCCTTTCCAATTGTAATATAAAAAAAAAGAGAAAAATGTATATAATAAACAGAAAATTGAAGTTTTTTCTATAAATACATGATTTTTTTCATCTTCTGGCATGGAAATTATCATATTTTACTCTTGGCAACCGCCACTCGTGAAATATTTATTTTCATACCACGTGATGAAAAATAAATCATGAATTTATGGAAAAAAAACTTGAACATCCTCTATCTATTGATGCAGATCTAAACCGCTATGAAATACAAATATTAGATTAACGAACAGAAAATCTAACTACATCTGCCCAGGGTACGTCTTTTAATCTATTTGAAAGACCCTGATCTGCCTAAACTAGAAATGATTGTAACAAATTCACAATTAATGTGTCTTTAAAATAGGGGAAAAATCTATTAAATAATAAAGAAATTTTTGAGAAAAAGTCAACATTAATTAAAGCTGTATATTGTAATTATCATAACAGGTGCTCGTCCAGTCTTGGTGCCTATGTAAAAAAAATTTGAAATGAAAAAAAAACAAAAAAAAAACAAGTAGATCTACATGTATTCTGGGTTGAGTGCAAGAAAAGAAATTGATTTTTTTCCTCTATATATACTATTACTAGAATGGTAGTAATTCGTAGTATTGGTATATACGGGGGGGGGGGCATTTTTTTCATTTTTTTTCTTTCACTAAACCACGGATTTACATTGTAGGCCTAATATAAATCCGTGACTCAACCCAGAATAGTTTTGTTTTATTTCATTTTTTTAATATGGACGAGCACCTGTGATTATCATGTGTATTTATATTACAGTTCCAATTGAAACCCGACATGATATTTATGCATTTATGATGCAAACATCTCGGGAACTTGGCTATAAAATATCTCTTATGCACAAAACAATGACACGTGTCATGTAATATTTATTCATAATATCTGCAATAAAAGTCTCTTGAGTGTATTTTGTTCAGCCAATTCGTCAGCAGCTTAGAACTGCTTGTCACGAAGTGGTTGTCACGAATATCAAAATACACGATCACAGCTGAACGCAAATCTAACATTTTTCAAATTTGAACAAGGTAAACACAGATGCTTGAAATTTTTGAAAAATAAACTTTATATGAGTAAGATCTATGAGGGTTTGCTATCAGTTAAATTGACAAGTGAAAATTTTGCGTAGTTTTCTCACTTATATCTTTTTAACGTGTTTTGGTATAATTTTCGGATAAATCTTTTACGGATAGTAAATTTGAATAAATAAATCACCGCAAGTTATTGCCCAATCTACCGCCCAGGGTGCTTAGAAAATCCGAAAGTAATCACTAAAGTATGATAAGGCTTTACTCCCTTCCAACTACAAGAACTCCTTCTTCCCTCGTACAGCCACAACGTGGAACAGCATACCTGCCTCCGTTGCAGAGGCCCCTGACTTGGAATCCTTCAAGCAGGTGCTATCAGCCCTCACATTCTAATCTGCCTTAGGGGCCCAGCTACAAGTACCCACTAGTGATATCCAAGGCTGTGCTGGCCGCAGCCACTGTAACCGGAGAGGTTTGGGTTGAAGCTCTAGGCGAAATGTAGCTGGCCAGACTTTTTGCCTATATCTATTCCTTTCGACCTTATTAAGTCGTGTAACCCACCTATCCAACCTCTTCTAACTTTCTATCATTTCTTGTATATTGTTCTTGACCTAGCACCACCCTTCGCGTTAAAATCAAGTGTGATTGCCCTGACGTACGATGTAGATGTAGAACAATTGTTAAATTCTTGCTACCACATTTGATTATATGTTCATCACTTCAATTTGAAAAAAACCAACATGTGCTTGATGATGTGAAGCTGAATCATTTAATCTCTCAATTACAAATATTTTGAAAACACATATTGAGCATACTCCTGTATCAGAAAATCGGTAATCTCCTGGATTAAACCCCTCTGTGGTAGTATCATTATGAACGTATATATATCAGAAGTAAAACTTGTATCATGCGTATACAGGTATATAATACACTAAAGAAAACGGAATGAACCTTATATATACTCTTGGTTTAGACCCTGAGGTCTATTCAAGGATATAGTCAGTACCTGTAGCAAGACACTTCACCCCTCAAATTTTGAAGAAATTCACCCCTCACAGTCACCCCTAAAGTCAGTAAAACACTTCACCCCTCATCCAATTTTTTTTTTTCTATAAAAAAATAACTCAACAACTTAATGCTTTTAATTATTTGATTAAAAATATTTTGATTAAAGGACAATTTACAGACATTTCTAAGAGGAAATATTTTTTAGTAAATAATTCAGAAACAAATAAAACATGTAATGATTTATTTCATTCATTTACAATTAACATGCAATAAAACATAACATGAAAAACAATTTACAGCTGACAAACACTTAGATATATTACATCATTGAAACATAACATCAGCACACATTTCTGATAGTAGACAGGATTTGTGACTTCCCATCAATTCATAAATATCTGGTATAAACACTTTTGCAAGGACATACATCATCCGAAAACTACACAAGTTTTTAGCCGACGTCCAATTCGACAATCTTAAGTTATCCAATCAAAATGCATAATTTAAAAGGTGCAATTTTTTTCTGTTATTTACTCATTATTAAGATAAGAGTAAATAATGAGTCCTAAATTAATTTGACGAGTGACAAGAGAAAGGGATACATTGTTTCGTTTCATTTCGTTCAAAGCCTTGATAATGGCCGTGTTGTCACTCCGGTATTTACAGCTTGATTTGAACATAACACCAAAGGAAAATTCCACCAATAATCATGCCTGAGTATTTTGACACCCTTATATTCATTCTTCAAGCATGCCATGGGGTAAAGTGAAGCATATCAAGATATTTTTACTTAAATTTTAGTTTATATAAAGATTTTTTTACAGGTTATATGGCCCTATATAAACTGTTTATATACGTCCATATAAACTGTCAGGAATCTTTAAAACATCTTAACGTATGATACAGCAAACTTTCTTTAATAGAGGGAAAAAGGAAATTCCATCATTGAATTGACAGTGCTTAGCCATGTATATATTCAATAATTATATAGTTAAAGATCCTGTAACTTTTTTATGGTTTTGTATCATAAAAATAATGCTCAAATGAAGATTTATCAATATTGTAAGTTCCAAAAAGCATAATTTGTAAAGATTTTACGGAATTTACATTTCATCCTAATAAAGGGAGGTAATAAGAAATTTATTTTGTATAAATTTGAAGTCAAATTTTTCAATAAGAAATGAATGCATATATTTTAATGATTACAAATAATGTGCACAAGTATTTGCAGTATTTTGTTTGTTTGTTTAATTGGGTTTTACGTCACACCGACAAAGTAGGCGACATTCCAGCTTTACTGGTGGAGGAAGACCTCAGGTACCCTTACGTGCATTATTTCAGGCATAAACTGACACCTGAGTAGAACCACTAATGTTCCATGAGCTAGCTGGCTAGCTTCCTCACATGAAAGAATCCAAAGTCCCTGTTGGGATTCGAACCCACAGCAGTGAGGCGCAAGTGGTTTGAAGTCAACGATCTTAACCACTCTGCCACAGACGCCTCTTTACAGTACATATTTTAGATATTTTTCAATGTTTGAAAATTATTTTAGAAACATAATTATATACATATATAAAATTTCTCATGCCTTGTCCTTTTGGCCAAAACTCGGGTAACTATTAATATATGCATATGCATTAATATTTGTATTTTATTGTTGTGTGCTTATAAACTTAGAATTAATAAGAATTAAAAAAAAAAAAAAAAAAAAAAAAAAAAAAACTTAGTGAAAGAGGAATTTGTTTACAACTTACATCCATTGACTAAATGCAGAGATGAGTTTCAGCAGCTCTTCTGGAAGTGCGGTGCCCGGAATTACTCTGAAGAAGTTTGAATCTCAAAATGAAGTGGATGAGAAGAAGCAGAAAAGGCAAGAAGAATGGGAGAAAGTAAGAAAACCGGATGATCCAGAAGGTAAAATAGTTACTAAACAGTACCAGATTAATATGCAATAAGGTTTTTCTAAACTCTTTATTTTTCCCTTAAAAAAATAAATAAAACAATGCAGTTTCAGTTAAAAGCGAGCTGTCCTGAGAAATTTTAATCCATACACCAAGTCATGTTGTTTACATGGACAAACATTGTCAAAACTTTTATAATATTAAGATTATTAAGTGATTCAGGTAGCTTATATTTGCAACTTAAATAAACATCCAAGTGTTTAACTCCCAAAATTACTCAGAGTCCCAGGTTTCTCAAACACCTAAGATTTAAGGTATTTCTGCTTATGAATAATTGGTCTAATGGGGGAAATTCATGTGTTTAGTACATCTTAAACAGTTATAATCCAACCATGACCCCAGTTTTACTTGAGGTAAGGATAAAAAGACTATGGTTAACTTTGAATTAAAATCTCACAGAGGTATAATTATGATATTCATAGGACTATTGTAATGTATGCAACTTCTTTTGTTCTTCGATAGTTACCTCCCTTTGAAGATAGTTTGTCTACTTCAGTGGTATACAGTGCAAGAACATACAAAGAAGTGTATGCTTTTCAATATTTCAAAACCATTTTTGGTAAAACCATCCCCTTTTTCAAATATTTCCATATCTTGTCAAAGTTTTCTCACTGTCAAGTAAAAAAATGGTGAAAAATATTTTAATGTGTTTTGAAATTAAATCATGTGGTATTGATATTTCAGAATGTCCTGAAGCACCAGTAGACAATAGATGTTTATATGACAAGTTACAGGAACAGAAATTGAAGAAAGATGAAGAATTTGAGGAAAAAATTGCCTTTAGTATGTATATAAATCTTTAACCTGCTGGACTCAGAAGTGGTTAGCTTTTGTCCTAGAAGTGGTTAACTTTGTCCGTGAAGTTGTTAGCTTTTCTCCAGGAAATGGTTAGCTTTTCTCCAGGAATTTGAGTTTCTGTCAAGTGTAGGACAAAAGTGATTCTACACAAAAGCTCAACTGTCCAAAAATGAAAGCCCTTCACTTGGCTCCACTGAAAATGACAAGGCAGACAAAAGTGGTTCCGTGAAAAGACAGGATTAACAAAACCCTCCAGTGTAACTTAAGTTATTGACCTGTTATAAGAGATGTGAACCTTATATAAATGTCTCCACTCTGTAATTTAAGTTGATTTATACTTATTCTTCATCCTAACTGTTCATATTTGAGTAATCACATCATATTCACATGTAAAATCATTCACTGATATATAATTTTAAAAACAATTTAAGACACCTGCACAATAAAGCCAGTTATGAATGAAGTGTATGCTTGCCTACATGCTTCAGTCTGGTGTAGAGGGTGAACAAATCAAGCATACACATGGAAAAGATATGTTTGATGTCAATGTGAAATAAGAAAAATATATATTTATGGTATCAATATGTTAAATGCATTGAAAAGAAAGTAATTAACATACATTTATAATTTTTTGTCCAGCCTATCATTTCAATTAAAGGGGCTTTTGTAAAATGTAAATAATGAGATGCAGAATAATTTTACAGCAGACAAAATAAATTGCATTGGATCATAAAGTTGTGGATTGAGTCCTACATGTATCCACGAAAAACCATGAAAATTAGTTCCCCACAAATAAAAATGATTGTGCAGTACATGCAGGTCTTAGACTATGACATAATAAATGTTCATTTGAAATAAATGAAAAAAAAATTGGGATTAAAGAAAAGTTTAGAGTTACTGTCTTTATAGAATTGAACAAGCTTGAATAGGAGGTTGTAATTGCAGGAAATCAAGTGGCACGTTTAGATGCTGATGAAACAGAATTTCTGGACTTTTGTACAGAAAGACAACAAGAAATAATACAGGAGCGTAAACAAGAGGAAGAAAATATCATTTCAGAGATGAAAATATCCTTTATATACTTACAATTTGATATTTGAACATAATGTCGAGGGCTCAGCGCAAGACTATTCTAACTCAATATTTTTCAGAAAATGGTTTTTTGACATTTTCTTGTATAAATTCCTTCAATGCATGTTCTGTTAAAAAGACATAATTAATTTCCCACTAATTTTTAAGTTTTACACATTTTAAGAAAATATTCTATCTGGTGATATAATATATTCAGTGCAAAACTATTCTAACTCAAGTTAGAATAGTTTGACAATCACTTTTAAGTTAAAAGCTTGATATTCTTTTGTGCAAGACTATGCTAACTTCAAGTTAGCATAGTCTAGCGAAATAAAAGATGCTGTTAACAGGAGTTTTTGCTATTTAAACTATTCTAACTGAAAATAAACAAAGTTTGATGATGTCATCACAAGCTTTGATGATGTCATAAATTACAAGAATATTTATGACACTTTTTCTTTTATCATATTTTACAGAATTTTACAGTTTTAAAACATATTCTGATGTGTTTTTGCCTGTCTTTCATTGTTTTCAAGATGAAGACAATTTGATTCCTCATTTTAATATTTATACCAAGTGTAATCAATTTCAAACACTTGTAATTAATTTATTTTACTGACTGCATGGCATTTCAAATTCTCTGTACAAAGAATAAAAAAAATCAGAACTTAGTATTATACAATTTTAGAAGAAATTTTCCCTTTTTAGTCTTTGTTTATAGTAAAGATGAATATAAGTTGCTTACATTTAAAGATTTATGGTTTATCGCCAATCAAGTTCACTGGATGGAGAAAGTGATAAGTGCTCCTGAGTACTGGCTTTCAGTAAATTTCAATAAAACAACAGAAGAATAAAACAAGCTTTATGTCAATACAATTATGCAAAAATCATCTCTGAATTAAATCCAATTCAAAAATAAAGAAAAAAATATTTATTTGAATGAAGTGTTGCCAGTATGCACAAATTATTAACCTTTATTTAGGAAGCTTTGAGTTGTATTAAACCGTTCAACCCTACTTGAGTTAAGGAGACCACTGTAAAATACCCATATCTTGACCAAAATACACTGTTTCAAATTATTTGTGTGTGTGTGGACAATCACAACAAATAGGTAACAGGGCAAATTACCTCAGTGATGAAACAGAAATCATTCACATGCATATGGTGTATGTTTTGAGTCCCCTTGTTCCCATATTTTCTGTATGTGGAACATTTGAGTGTTCATCTATACCAATTGTGCAATGAATACTTATGTGATGGGATGTTTTCAAAATATTATTTAAATACGCATATGGGAGAAGAAAAAGGAACAACCAAAATGGCAACAATATGCCTGTAACAGTATTAAAACAGTATATAATATTAAATCCCGGGATAAAGTTTGCAAAATGGGCGATAATATTTTCTGACAATCAGTGTTTATGAAAGCATGCAGTTTTTATAGAAAAGTCTTTTCCAGTCTGACTAAAGTTCTGATCTACTTATTTCTTACATGTAGATCTGATTGCCCCCTTATTTGTTTAATCTTCATTGTGATTTGGATTTCCCAGGAAAGCTATTTTTAGCAATGAAATCAAACCGTCCTTTACATATAGGATTTATAAGACGAAGTATCAAAATATCATTTTCTGTTAAAGTAAACATAAGTATTGTTGATTTTTGATTGTTGAAGTGATGTGAAATGAACTGGAAATTAAAGACTGAATTTATGATGGGCATGCAGTTTACCTGCTGGCTATCTGGACAACACCATGTTTGTTCTCGAAATTGTGAAAATGACCTACTCAGTAATGGTTTTCCAGCCATTGAAATTAGAAACCATATCGCTTTCAAAATTGTAAAAGCTTGCTGATGATTGGCTGTTTGAAAGGTTATGAGAAGGCGACAACCAATTGGTGGTCGTCAGATCCTAATCATACGCAGCGTAGTGTTAATTAGAAGCTGATTTTAATCAGGACATCCTTAAGATTCATATTATTCCAGTTCAAATAGCATAATTTAAGTTTACAAGCCTGTACATAATTGTTTTCTTTCTTTGTATTTACAAAAGTATACTTTATAATACTAGATTGATAATCTAGAAATACAATTTAGAGTTATGTGCTTATGAATGTTGAATTTTTTTAATTTTTAATTTTGAAAACTTCCAAAACTTTCACTGAATTTATGTATCTTCAGCAACCTTTATTAATATAGTAAAAAAATATTTTGTTTTTGAGGATTTATTTCTTAAAACAAGGATTGTTTTTACCAAAGCACATTCTTTTACATTTATGACAATTAAGTAATACTATAATATTATGAAAATTAATCACTACTAAAATGTATCTTCTAAATTTTTAAAGAGTTTCATTAAATTTTGTGTTTTGTATTTAAATACACTTTTAAAATGTCAGTTTCTAAGAAATTGTAATCTTTGATTGGCAAACTTTGTAAAATCAAAAAGTGTTTTCCTGGTGCATAATTGTCAATTTTATTATATGTTTCAATAGTGTCGATCATTTATTGAAAATATATACATAAATTACCAGTACAAAAATTATGTTAAAAGAATAAAATGTTTCCTTACATAAAATATTTCAGTCATTTTAAAGTGGGGTTTAGTATATTAGAAGATAAGATTGAAACCTATTATAAAATGAACACCCAATGCAATATTTTGACACAGCCACAAGTGAAAATATAACACTGCTGGTGTTCACAAATAAATTAAATGAAATATTATTTGACCTTACATGCAAAATAAACAAATGTTACATTTATTTCATATGTTTTTATTGGTGTTAAGGCACTTTGATTTTTTTCAGTTTATCATCTTATATATTACTTTATCACATTATGTTTATATTCAAAAACTAATTCTGTAGTATTTCATTAATTTCGTTTGATTTGTGCAAATATTAAAGTGCTTCTCATCATATATCACATTATACTTATAACTTAAGTGTATTTCTCACAATATTTCCATTTATCGCATGCTTTTCAGTGGACAGTGAAATTATAAAATATCATTATCACAGTAGCCAGACTATATCTGAATTCGGATGAAAAGAATATAACTTAAAATACATAAAAATACCGAATACACACCATTATGAGTAAAATGTGCTTGAATACGAGAAACACATAAATATCTAGTTATCTACATAGTCATATCAATTCAAAAATGTATCATAATTTCGTAAAAGGTGACAGGATTATTTTTCAACAAGAACTATGTGACATCATGATTTTATGACATCATTAATGAGAGCGCATATTGTTATTTGGCAAAAGTCAGTAAAAAAAGATTAAAACCGATAAAAAAGGTCATGGAATGAATAGAATTTTTTTTTTTATCATGCAAGATCATAATATATTTGTTAGTTTATAGTCACAAAACAATTTTTCAATAAATTGAATTAATGATACATGTATTATGATATATCTTTTAAATTTGCAAAATGTCTAATGTGTTAGTAAATAACTTTCAATAACATCATGTACGGTATTTTTTACCAGTACCTATTTAAATTAAAAATAATAAGAGACTTAAAGCTGCATGCCTGCAGATGAACCAAAATATTTCAATAAAGTACAAACCAAACCAAAGTATTCAGATTTTAAGAAAAGTATAAAGATTCAAGATAAAAGTTATAATTTCCATGTTATGTGTGAATTACATTGTATGACCGATTTTGCAGTAGTTTTTAACCTTAGTTCTATTGCATTACTAATGCAGTAAGGGCTATTTTAGCATATTTTGACCTCTTTTTGGTAATTAACACGGGTTGTAAGTACTGTTTACAATTTTCTTTTTTCACTTCACAATGTTTTACTTTATAATACATTTTCAAATTTTTCATGAAAATTAGCATAAATCTGGAGGCATGCAGCTTAAATGTTATAATGGAGGGTTAAAGCAGTCCTTTAATTGTGCATCAACAAGGATGCATTCACAGCCCAAGCATGCATGCAATGCTTTCTAGCACAATGTTAAGAATCTGCAGATTTCACTTTTAAGAATTTGTATAAACACAAAAGATATGACTAGAATGAAAATTATTACCCGATTTGTGTGTTTGTATGAGATAATAAGTCAAGGTTGCTATCACTTGTACCTACTATATATTTTAGTAGGGTATAAATTACTTATAATTATGCAAATATGTAACAATATCAAATTATAGTTATATATTATGGTCTTAGAACAGCCCGAAACGCTCAAATATCCCTTAAAAAATATTATTTAAGAAATTAATTTTACTTTCAAAAAGTAAACATATATTCTAACTTGATAGATAAAAGATATTCTTAACTTTCAAGTTATTGCAAAAGTAATCTATCTTAAGATAGAATAGTTTTGCACAAGATTTAGAAATCAAAGGGACATATTTTATAGTGTTAAAGTATTCTAACTCAAGATAGAATAGTTTTGCACAATAAATATTCTGGAAAAAGTAGCTTTTCTAGTGCAATACTAGGCTATGTTAGCATGTAGGCAATAAAATGCGTATTTTACACTTTTCTTGAAAAAATGAACATGTACACAACTTACTTCTATTTTTTGATAAGGTTGGTTGTGAATTTTTTTTAAAAAAATGAAATCAAAATAAAATAACATATTTTTTCCCTTTCCTGAAAATTTTTCAAAATACAAGTTAGAATAGTCTTGCGCCGAGCCCTCGATGTGTACTGTTGATATTAATATCTTTCATAGTTTCATACCTATGTCGAAAGCCCACCAAGCCAGCTCACTCAGGTGAGAATCGGTTCACTTTTGCACTAGATATATTTTATATTGCACTAACTTTTATTAGGATATCTTCAAAATTATGCTGTTCATTTAAATTTTGATTTCTTTAAACTTTTCAATTTTTCCTTGGAAATATTACTATGAAATTTTTAATGTTTGTTTGCAACCTTTACCTTCATTCTATAATTACTGTATAACATGTCCTTAACCATGGGTTTTAGCACAAGTATATGCATTCCTGGCTTCTTGATATTTTTCAAAAATCCTCTATTCCACTTATAGTGGATTACCCTATCTGAACAGCTCGATGCAATATATATGTATTTTATTTTGTATTTGATGACTTTTTTTACAATACATGTATAAATGTGCAGTTATTAATACTCTTTTAAAAACGATTTGGCTGTACAGTATATTTAGCAATTAAAATTGCTTATTTTTCTTGACTTTCACCAAGATGCTAAAGTGATAAAGATGACAGAAAATAAAGCAGACGATAAGAAATCACGACCTATAGTACAGCAGCAAAGTAAAAAATCTCAAATGTCCCTCCTTGCTGGAGCAGTCAAACGAAGAGGGTAACTTCTTTGTGTCTTTCTATAAGATTTAAGTTTGTCAGTGAGAAGGTCCGACTGAAAGAAATTCTATAGGTCTATTTAGATACAAGGACAGGAGGAGAGGACTTCCCATTTTTGCCTATGGACTTTTCCGGTTTTTCGTAGCGGAACATTTAGCCACACCCTTTCCATTCATTGCCAGGTCAACTGCTCACAAACAGTATCACAAACATAACCACATGTTCTTTTGTGCAAACCAGGTCAACCAGTGACTATGTATTATCTCAGTGTAGCAATTGGATAACAAGTTAGCCAATGTATATAAAAATGTAAACACTGGAAAGGTCCATTGTTATAGGTTTTCAAACAAAGCTGTTATTATTCAACTGACAAAGGTTGATATTGCATAAAAATGAGGAACAAAAATGTTGAAATGTACAGAAAAATACCGCGTTCTACAAACTTATCAAAATCCTGACTTTATAAGTCATAGCCCAGAACTTCTGAAAAGTTATTCAAACTTGAACTTTGTGGCTTTTAATTAAAATAAATCTATTTTATCATTATTATTTGCAAACTTTTAGTGTTGTAAATTTTGAAGCTTGTGTTACCCTTGATTATGTAACTTTAAAGTTACACTCAACATAAACGGCTTTGGTGCAGGTAATATTATTTGATTTTGTTGTAAACAATCTAATTTGAATAATTCCATTCAAATTAAACCATTTTAACAAGAAAACATTTTTTTTTTAAATGTTTCCCAATTTCTTAAAAGATATTTAGCAATCTCATTATGTTATTAACAGGTCAGAAGAAACTTCTGTCAGTAAAAAGACAAAGACAGAAAGTGCTGATGATGCTATACAAGAGAAGTAAGTTTTATTACAATATATTGTTGCTAGAACTATTAAAGTGACATTATGGTCATCTCAGTTACATTATGGTCATCTTAGTTTAAATCATACATGGTGGGTGTACTGGTTAAAGTCAAAATAACTTTACATATTGCCATAATTTCTTTCAAGTTTATAGTCTAGTTCATGTGTATAAAAAAATATCAAAAACCAACCTGACTCGAGAGAAAATTCTATAAATATCTTGAGGAATGTTTCGTTAATGTTCAGTTGATTAGAAGAGTGGGACATTCTGTTTTTAGGCCTTTATTTTTTATCTATCATTGACAATATATAGTAATTTTTTTAGATATAAAGTATAACTTCAGTTAGTCGAAGTTGAAGGGACTTGCGTAAAAACTTCGACTATCGAGACATCGTCTCATGAATCGGTTTCAATTTCAAGACAAAATTTCCACCCATTAAAGTATACAAGGATGTTACAAAAGGCGTAACAATAGGAAAGGGCGATAACTAAACCAGCTTTTAGTAAATTTTTTGCTGTGATTTTCACGCGACAACGGGTCATGGAAGTTTTCAAATGAAAGTAGTTTTTACTCTTTACTTTCAATAACAACTAAGACAATTTGAATGGTAACAATTTTTTTTTCACACATTTAAATGCATACAAATGCTGTTTGAAGACACGGCAGTTTAAGTTACACCTGTCACACAAGTTTATCGGAAATTGTCTTCGCGGCCAGATAATGTGTGAAAAATGTCTCAAGATAGAAGGTGTAAAAATTATCAGAGCATTTTGACTTATTTGTGGTAAATTGTACGCGATTTATTCTTTAAGGACCACAAAAAAATTTCGACACATCGAAAAATTCGACACATAAATTTTCAACTCATAAACAGGTTTTTATTAGCAAGAAATAGCGGAATAAAAATGGGACTTTCAGTTTACTTCTACACATCGAGAAAATCGACTAATCGAGGTTCAACTCGTAGAAGTTCTACTGTATAATCAATTTAGCTAAACAGCAGAAAAAATGAGAATAATGTCACTTTAATGATAAATTGGTTATAGTTTAACTATATAAAATTCAAATCATTACCACGGTTTGCACTGTACTTGATTACAATATAATTCTTCTCTCGTTATAGATGCTAATAATTACTTATTTATATATCTTGATAGCTATTTCCTTGAATGTAAGATTGATTGATTGAGATCACAGGTTGATCAATCAGGAAGCTGGGTTAAATATGACATGCCCAGATGTGACTTCTGTATTGACCATTTCTGGTGATGAATCTCAGAAGAGCACTCTAGGGCTATCATGGACTTCTTGATTAGTAATTATCCAATGTAATGCACGAGTTAGTTTAGCTTTTTTTTTTAGACATTGACTGTAATACAGTTATATATACTAGTTATATTTACCGTATTAAAGTGCCTTTTAATGTATTTATAACAAAGGCAATCAAATATTGTACACCAAATCTCATACATTGTTTACATCTATTTCTGTAGGTCACAGAAAACTGAAGAAAAGAGAACTTCCAGCAGCAATTCTTCACAGTTAGCACGAGTTATAGGTGTTCTACCACGTGCATTACCTGGACTTACAGACTATGATGACTCTAGTGACTCTATATCTAGTAGCAGTGATTCTGAGCCAGATTTTTCCTTGTCTAGCAGAAATAATGTTATCTTGATAGCTAAACAACATATTCAACAACAGCAACAGTGAATTATCTAGTATTTAAGATTTTGGTGGTATACTTGCTTTACGAATAATACTTAAATGTACAGTGAATAAGACAAATTTTTATATACAAAACTGTATGTAAAATACTGTGTTACGTTACACTAAGGTTAGGTAACTTAGGTTATGGGTAACAATGAAACTATCATGTGACCATAATAATAGAAAAATATGGAAAACCATTTACTCATACATAGCTGAAAAAAAACAAAAGGAATTGCTAATCCGTTATGTTATTTTATGAACTAAGAAATTAGTTTTGTTTAGAAGATTTACTCTCGTGCATTGTCCATTACTATCAGATTAACTTTATGATAAATTATTAGAAGTGAACAACTTTCAACCAATAGTTTTGTGTTTAAAAAAGGAACAAGAATACACATTATTGAGTTTCAATATTGATTAGAAATGTGCATTTGTAAATGAATTTCGTAATATATACAAAACTCCACATGCGTTTTAGAGAAATTTTGAAGAAGAAATAAAGCATTTACATGTAGTATTTTTGTTGTTGCGATATTCATATATATCGCACATAATAAAAATATCAGTATTTTTGTAAATGAAATAGTTATATAATTAAAGATGCATGTTAAATCTAGTTGATGCTGTTGTAAGTTTTAACTGTGTTGCAATTTACAAGTTAAAATTCTTACTTATTCCTTAACTTTGAATAAATTGACTGAAAACCAACTGTTTGTTTTTCAATTAGAAACAAGATCATGTTTTTCCTTGAACATGTATGCTTGCAGTCCTGATTTTTTTTCAGTAATCAATTTTAAAACCCTACACCGTCCCCACGTGTCCTTTGTCAAAATTACATAAAAACATAAACACACACACTTCATTACTATCCATCACAATTATGCAAATTTATTAAAATCTATCCAGGGATGACACAATTGTTGACCAAGCATAAACATCAATCTATGATGAATTTCCTTTTAAGTCAAAGTGTGACCTTGACCTTTGAGCTACAGTTCTAGATCTGGCATGCCACAATATTCTCAATGTGCTACATATTCATACAAAATTATTTTATTATCACATCCATAAATGACAAAGTGATAAACCAGACATGGGTGGGATGGAATGTCAGATAGACTGATGCTACAAAAATTATATGCCTCCCATACTGGGGGGGGGGGGGGGGTTAAAAACACCCAAACTTCTACTTATGTCAGTCACACTTTAAGGGCACATCTTTAATAAGAGGGTCTGTCATAGGGACTGATTTGTGTAAGTTCTACAACTTTTCCTATCTGAAGATTTTGAAATAAGTTCTGCACAAATGTTCACCATGTGTCCTGCACAACACCCAGACTTCGTCCACCAAGGTTAGGTCACACTTAAAGGTCAAAGTTTAACATGGTCTGTATTTTCCTTGTACAGAGAAAACTTAGAAAAGTATTAGATTTTCCAGCTAAGTTTTAAATATAAATAAATGACAGTGCAAGGGAGTGCACTGCAAGAGAACCATAACTTTGTCTTAAATATCTCAAATTATCTCCCTTTATGTGCTCATCATTAAGGATAAAATGTTCTTCTACTGGCACATATACAGGAGTTATTTAATCATATTTCAATAATTTTTTTGTTGCATGTGCATATCTATCATTCATCAAGATTATGCTCTGAAAGTTTAGATTCATCCCTCATACTTTTGAAATAATACTATTGTGTGCTTTATGTAAAACTTCCCTTAGGCAGAGGACGTTAGGAATTCTTGTTACAAATTCTTGGTACATAGGCAAGACTTTCAAATTCTTGGTACATAGGCAAGACTTTCAAAATGCATATAAATCTTTGAAACAATAAAACTAGTGGTCTTCAACAGAAGTTCAGATACAAAGATCTCTACTATGCAGGGTGTCTGTGGCCGAGTGTTTAATGTCATTGACTTAAAACCAGTTGATTTCCACCTGTGTAGGTTCGAGCCATACCAGCTTCTTTGGACTCTTGCCTAAGAGATAACTATCCAGCTAGCTTTTACAATGTCGGTGGTTCTACTGAAGTGTATTTTACAAGTAACAGTATTTTATTTGTGGTTTACTTTACTGTTGAACAAAGCTACATACTAAACATCTAAACTCAAGGATGTTGAACTTTAAAGAAGATACCTAAAACAAATTCTTTTAGTGTAAACACATAAAATAATGACAATGTTGGCTCGATCAGCGTGAAGTTTAACACTTGTTAAGAACATCAGAAAGCTGCAAAATAAGTAATCTAAAAATCTTGTCTCTTGACAAGTTTCTAAAATATCATCCTCCAGATTCATGCTAATTTTCATTTTGAAAATGTATTTAACAGTAAAATGTTGTTAAGTGAACAAAAAAGTAGTTTACACATTGCAAATGGCACTTTACAATCCATATAAATTACATAATACAATGTATGCAAAAATAGCCCTTGCTAATGCAGCTGAAATATGGTGATAAATACTGCAAAATCAGTCATTAATTGTACATAATATGTAAATTATTTTTTGAATCTTTAAACTTTTTTTCAAATCATATTATATTTTTCTCAAGTTTGATTTTCTTGAAATATTTTGGCTCATATGGAGGCATGCAGCTTTAACCACTATTTTTACCTCACATGTCATACTTAGTATGAAACAGATGTGATAATGTTCTTGCCTACCAAGCATCAATTAAAGCAAATTTGGTTATTATATGACCCAGTGTAAGCTGAGATATTGTTTAAACAAATAACAACACACAATAAAAGTGTAAAATAATTAAGATCTAAAGAGGACTTTCAGAATTCCTTGATCAGGCCAGCTATAAGTAAAACGTCTAAGACAAGGAACATCGCAATGCGATGCAACCAGGTTTTCAGCAAAATATTTCACAGAAGCTTTGTCATGAAGGGGCATTTGTTTTTAATTGAACTTTTAGGAGGAATTATGGCTTTTTTAATATTCCTCAAACAAAAATGATTGAGAAATTTTATGTTGTCTATTCGCCTTTTTTTCCCAAATGTTTTAGAAAGGTAAACAGTACTTTATTTTTGCTTAATTTTTGCATTTTTGCGTCTCTTGTCATTTTCTTTTGTCAACAATATTGGCGTGTGGTGTTTTGTGCGATATCAAGAAAAGTATGTTCACAATTTTAAAACAAGAGCTGTCTGTAGGACAGCACGCTCGACTATTCTTAGTGCTTGATAGTAAAAGAGCCTTGATAATGTTAATTTTTTTAAGTTCACAAAAGGGCAAATTTTTTTTTATAAATTCATGTTATAGGCCTTACAGAGAGTCTAATTATACAGTATTGGCTTGACTATTCGGAAGGTAATGTCACAAGGGTGTTTTATTGAGTATAATAATACTAATTACCTATCAGATTACATAAATTTGACAGACAAGGTACAAAGGCTTGTTATTAAGATGTTTTATCAAGTAAATCACTGCTTTATTATTATGAATGCATAAAATTGTCCCAAAAAAGGCACAAACCCTTCAGTAGTTATTGAGATAACAGCTTACAAACAAAACTTTAAAATGAATTTCTAAGTTGAAAAAGGGGAGAAAAATCAGCCTAAATGCAAGATAGAATTATGGATCTTTGTCAGTGACCTACAATTATGACCCTAAATGCATATGTGAAGTTTTAAATAAATATCTGTAATAGTTATTGAGATATGTAAAACTTGCATGTAAACATTAACCAAGATACTTAGTAGAAAAGGGGATATGAATCAGCCTTAATGCAAGATAGAGTTATGGAACTTGGTCAGTGACATACAATTATGACCCTCCAATTAGACCCTAAGTGCATGTGTAAAGTTTCAAGTAAATATCTTTGAAGACCTTTAACCTCAACCAAAATTTCTAAGTTTCAAAGGGGCAAATAATTCTGCAAATATTGCAGGCAGAGTTATGCAATTTTGCAAACTGATGTACATTGTTACTATAAAAAAGTATTTTACATTTCAATTGAATATCTCAAGCAATAATTGAGATATTTGACTTTACAAAAAACTTTAACCAAAATTTCTAAGTTAAAAAGGGGCATAATTCTGTCAATATTGTAGGCAGAGTTATCCAACTTGTCAATCTGATGTACCTTGTTACTATAAATAAGTATTGTAAGTTTCAATTGAATATCTCAAGTAATAATTGAGATATTTGACTTTACAAAAAACTTTAACCAAAATTTCTAAGTTAAAAAGGGGCATAATTCTGTCAATATTGTAGGCAGAGTTATCCAACTTGTCAATCTGATGTACCTTGTTACTATAAATAAGTATTGTAAGTTTCAATTGAATATCTCAAGTAATAATTGAGATATTTGACTTTACAAAAAACTTTAACCAACGCAGACGCGGACGCCGACGCCGGGGCGACTACAATAGCTCTCATATTCTTCGAATAGTCGAGCTAAAAAAATACTTGAATGATGTCTTGGAAGAAACATGGGAATTTAGTGAGCGCCAGGGCACTTGATGAATAAGCTTCTGTGAAAGTTTGGTCAAAATCCATTGAGAAATGTAGGAGAAGTTGCGCACTGTAGAAATTGTTCACTATATATTCTGTATAAGGAAAAAATATACAAAGGGCCATAATTCGGTCAAATATTATCCAATCACAAAACCCCGACAATATGTGCCAGGCACTTGAAAACAAAGCTTCTAAGAAAGTTTGGTCAAAATCCGTTGAGAAATGTAGGAGGAGTTGAGCACAGAAGAAATTGTTCTCTATATATTCTGTATAAGGAAAAAATATACAAAGGGCCATAATTCGGTCAAATATTATCCAATCACAAAACCCCGACAATATGTGCCAGGCACTTGATAACAAAGCTTCTAAGAAAGTTTGGTCAAAATCCGTTGAGAAATGTAGGAGGAGTTGCGCACAGAAGAAATTGTTCACTATATATTCTATATAAGGAAAAAAAACAAAGGGCCATAATTAGGTCAAATATATACCAATTGCAAAACCCTGGCAATATGTGTCAGGGCACTTGATGACAAAGCTTCTGAGAAAGTTTGGTCAAAATCCGTTGAGAAATGTAGGAGGAGTTGCGCACAGAAGAAATTGTTCACTATATATTTTATATAAGGAAAAAAAACAAAGGGCCATAATTAGGTCAAATATTATCTAATCGCAAAACCCGACAATATGCGCCAGGGCACTTGATGACAAAGCTTCTGTGAAAGTTTGGTCAAAATCCGTTGAGAAATGTAGGAGGAGTTGCGCACAGAAGAAATTGTTTACGCCCGCCCGCCCGCCCGCCCGTCCGCCCGCCCGCCAGCCCGCCGACATACCTCAATCTAATAACCAGTTTTTTCCTTCGGAAAACCTGGTTAAAAAGGAGTCTACAAGCAATAACAAGTCAATTTTAATAATTTAATCAATAACTTCAAAAACACAATGACACTCACACATTTGTTTTACACTATCAGCTCACATAGCCCTTCACAATTCTATCAAATTGTTATTTGGTAGTTGTTGTTGTTGTTTTTTTAATGAAAGAATGTTAATATCAATGATTTATTCAGAAAGATGTTAGACTGTATCTGTTCAATAAAAGCACTTTGTTAACACGGTGTAGAGATTTAAGAGTTTTCAATTTAATTCTTTCTTTGATTTTTCATATTCTTCTATGTATTTTGCTTCACGTTCTAAAAATTCCCTCTTTCTCACATCACGTCTAGCGAAGTATTCTGGGTACTTAGCCTTCTCTAGTGGATGCCATCCATCAAAAATCTAAACAAAAGAAAGTTTTCATTTAAATATATTAAACTTCTGTGTTTAACCAATCTCTTCACAACTTACAAGAGAGTAATAAGAACAAGAGCTGTCGGTAGGACAGCAATGCTCCACTATTCTTAGTGCTTGATAGTAAAAGAGCCTTGATAATGTAAACTTTTCTGAGTTAATAACAAAAGGACAAAAATTTTCTTTAAATCCATGTTTCAGTTATAGGCCTTGGAGAGAGTCCTATTATGCTCTCAAAGAAGAGTATAAAATTTCAATTTGTTTCAATAGAATATGAAAATATCTGAGGTTGTATGCAAACCTAAATGTAAATTCTAAGTTGAAAAATGGGCATAATTCTGTCAAAATGCTTGATACAGTTACCTCCTCCTGTCTAAAGGTTGGGTTCATGATGGTGAACAAGTGTGCAAAGTTTCAAAGCCATATGTCAATGGACTTTGAAAATATTTGAGGTCTTACAAAAACTTAAACATTACATAAGTGGTAACGCGGAAGCCGACACCAACGCTCGGGTGACTACAATAGCTCTACTTATTCTTATCGAATAGTCGAGCTAAAAATTACAAGTGTGTAACAGTGTACATGGATGTACTGACTGTCATGGCTCTTCACTGATGGCAAATAGTATTCCAGGAAAACAAAGTTTCATTAACTTATATGCCAATAAGTATGAAGACAATCCATCCCTTATTTACAGTTCTTTTTCTTTCTTAGGAAACCGAAGCCTGATTACTCAAAATAAAAGTATTTGTTGCTGTTGTTGAAAATCAGAAATTGTAAAAAAAGACTTACATGTATAATGGGTGGGACTTGAGTTACTAACTGTATATAAATCATATTTACTATTATTATGGCAGTAAATTTTCCCTGTACCACAACTACTAAAAATTTATTTGTTACATGTAGTTTAATAAACAATATAACAAGAGCTGTCACAGGAGACAGTGAAGCTCGACTATAAAAATACTGGACGCAGTAAGGAGAACAAAACTATGAACGAAAAATCAATTATATATAATTATGTGTTAAGCTATAGTAACAAAAAAACATTTGTTAACATAAATTCCAAATCAAGGGGAATAATTATAGAAATAGTCACGCTAGAGTTATGAACCTTGTCACACAACATGTGTGTAATGATAAGAAATATATTTGAAGTTTGAAGTAGATACGTTAAAAAGTAAAAAAAGTTACAATATTTTTTAAAGAAAATCCTAAGTTCAAAGAGAGATAAATCTGTAAATATTGCTATAAGAGTTACGGACATTGTCACATAAAATGTAATTGATGATAAGGAGTTTGAGGTAGATACCTTTAAAACTAAAAAAGTTATAGTAAAAAATAACAGTTTTCTAGTAAAAACAATCTAAGTTTATGGGGAGATAATTCTTGAAATATTGGTGCTAGAGTTATGAGCCTTGTCACATAAGATGTGGATGATGATAAGGTACATATATTTGAAGTATGAGGTTGATCCCTTAAGAAATAAAGAAGTAACAGTAAAAAATAGTATTTTTTGATGAAAATTCTAAGTTCAAGGGGAAATTAATCTGAAAATATTGGTGCTAGAGTTATGAACCTTGTCACATAAGATGGGGATGATGATAAGGTACATATATTTGAAGAATGAGGTTGATCCCTTAAGAAATAAAGAAGTAACGGTAATAAATAGTATTTTTAAGGAAAATTCTATGTTCAAGGGGAGATAAATCTGAAAATATTGGTGCTAGTTATGAACCTTGTCACATAAGATGTGGTTGATGATAAGGAACATATATTTGAAGTTTGAAGTTGATACCTTTAGAAATGACAAAGTTAAAGTGAACTAGAAATGTGTCCTTAGGACACGGGTGCCCCAACCACGCCACTGTTCTGTCAATCTTTTTACTAAGTCAAGGGAAATAACTCTACAAATACTGGATAAATCCACAAGCGAAACCCCAGGTGCAAATCTAAATATGCTGAGCAACCTGCCCATAAGCTTTAATGACTCTATGTCAAATCCTTTTTGAGTAACTTTCGACACAAGTTGAAAATTGCAAAAATTTTCTAAGTCAAGGGCAATAACTCTAAAAATACTTATTAAATCCAGACGAAAATACCTGGTGCACAACTGCACATGCTGATCAATATTCCTGTGAAGTTTCATGACTCTAGGTCAAATACTTTTTGAGTTACATGCGACACAAGTTGAAAATTGCAAAATTTTACTAAGTCAAGGGCAATAACTCTGAAAATACTATAAATATCCAGAGGAAAATACCCAGGTGCACAACAACACATGCTGATCAACATTCCTGTAAAGTTTCATGACTGTAGGTCAAATACTTTTTGAGTTACGTGCAACACAAGTTGAAAATTGCAAAATTTTACTAAGTCAAGGGCAATAACTCTGAAAATACTATAAATATCCAGACGAAAATACCCAGGTGCACAACTACACATGCTGATCAACATTCCTGTAAAGTTTCATGACTGTAGGTCAAATACTTTTTGAGTTACGTGCGACACAAAAGTGAACGGACGGACAGACGGACGGACGGACAATGGTAAATCTAAATGCCCGCCACTAAAGTGGGGGCACAAAAATATTTTACTGCACCAAAACTTTAATCTGAAATCTGGACGCGGACACCGACGCCAGGGCGGGTAGGACATCTCTCCATATACTTTGTATAGTCGAGCTAAAATTGTTTCTGCTAGAAAATCTTGACACTTACATAGTCCGGATCTGGTGGTTCTCTTCCATAAGCTACTCCACCTGGGGAATGGGGAACTGTAAACAGAAAATATAACAAGAAATGTCAGAAGAAACAGTCCACGGGAGAAGACAAAATTATGAGAGAAAAAATTAAAAACAAAATACAGTCAAACGTGTATTAAGCGACCGAGCAAGGGAAACACCCAAAACGGTCGCTTAATGAAACGGTCTCTTAAGACAGTCAGCATGATATAAAAGTTAAAGTTAAAATTTATAAATGACATCTTTCTTATGCGGTGGGAATGTTTTTCAACTTCGTTTTTATATACATGTTGAATAATAAGTACGCTCCGATAATCTAAATGGATGCAAAATGTAAACAAGAGGGCCATGATGGCCCTGAGGTCGCTCACCTGTATATAGGCCCCCCTAACCCCCATCCCCAACATTGCAGGGCCAATTTAACCCAAGGGCTTTTATTTGCACAAACTTGGTAGACACCCATAAGATGTTTCATGCTAAACATCTAAGCTCTAGCTCATTGGGCTTTTTAAAAGAAGATTTTTTTTAAGTTTTTACTATACACATATAGTTAAAAACAATGACACCCCTGGGGCCGGGCCAGTTTTGACCCCAGGGCTTTTATTTGAACAAACTTTGTAGACACTTACTAGAAGATGTTTCATGCTTAATATCTAAACTCTAGCTATTTGGGTTTTTTCAAAGAAGATTTTTTAAGTTTTTGCTATACACATATAAGGAAAATCAATGACCCCCGGGGCGGTGTCAATTTTGACCCCGGGGCTTTTATTTGAACAAACTTTGTAGACACTCACTAAAAGATGTTTCATGCTTAATATCTTAACTCTAGCTATTTGGGTTTTTTCAAAGAAGATTTTTTAAGTTTTTGCTATACACATATAAGGAAAATCAATGACCCCCGGGGCGGTGCCAATTTTGACCCCAGGGCTTTTATTTGAACAAACTTGGTAGACACCTATTAGAACATGTTTGATGCTAAATATCTTAACCATAGCTCTTTGAGTTCTTTAAAAGAAGATTTTTTAAGTTTTTACTATATGCATATAGGGAAAATCAATGACCCCCCGGGGCGGGGCCAATTTTGACCCCGGGGCTTTTATTTGAACAAACTTGGTAGACACTTATTAGAACATGTTTCATGCTAAATATCTTAGCTCTAACTCTTTTGGTTCTTTAAAAGAAGATTTTTTAAGTTTTTACTATATGCATATAGGGAAAATCAATGACCCCCGGGGCGGGGCCAATTTTGACCCCAGGGCTTTTATTTGAACAAACTTGGTAGACACCCATTAGAACATGTTTCATGCTAAATATCTTAGCTCTAGCTCTTTGAGTTCTTTAAAAGATTTTTTAAGTTTTCACTATATGCATATAGGGAAAATCAATGACCCCCTGGGGCAGGGCCAATTTTGACCCCAGGGCTTTTATTTGAACAAACTTGGTAGACACCTATTAGAACATGTTTGATGCTCAATATCTTAGCCATAGCTCTTTGAGTTCTTTAAAAGAAGATTTTTTAAGTTTTTACTACATGTATATGCATATAGGGAAAATCAATGACCCCCCGGGGCGGGGCCAATTTTGACCCCAGGGATTTTATTTGAACAAACTTGGTAGACACTCACTAGAAGATGTTTCATGCCAAATATCTAAGCCCTAGCTCTTATGGTTTTTTAAAAGAAGATATTTAAAGTTTTTTCTTTCGGTTGCCATGGCAACCAGAGTTCTGCATGGAATTAAATTCTTTGAACAATTTTTAAAGGTGACCACCAAAGGAACATTCCTGTGAAGTTTGGATGAAATTGGCTTAGTGGTTTATGAGGAGATGTCATTTAAAATAAAAGTTTACGGACGGACGACGGACGGACGGCCGGACGAAAAGCGATCACAAAAGCTCACCCTGTCACTTTGTGACAGGTGAGCTAAAAATAACTTTCTGATATTTATTGACAAAACAGTTTTGATCCATTACGTACATGTTTGACAATTTTCCAGAATTTTTTAACTTCTCCGTTGATTCCGAAACGAAACCCTTATTAGTGAAGATGTTTTCTGTTGTGCATTTTTTTCATTTGAAATATACAAACTACATCTAATTGTAAAGATTAATTTAATTGCTGATCAAGTTCAAGGTCAATTCAATGCAGTCTAAATGTCAACAAGCGAAGCGTATACACCATCTCAGTAGGGGTGGAGCCTTGCATTGTTTATCCGATATTATTGGATAATAAACGTCACTTAACTTCATACGCTAAAACGATTGGGGAAATAGAGTTTTCTACACGTTTATTTGTTGTGTTTTGATTCAGATTGTTGACACTTATGACATTACGAGGTGGCGTTCTCTAAAAACACAATTACTTGACAGGTAAAAGTGGTTGTTTAATGAAAAGATTTATCTCAATAAGGTGACTAATTAGCGGTCGCTGGTAGCATTGAGCAAAAGTCGCTTAATACATTAAAGATATAGAAAGACAAGAGCTGTCGGTAGGACAGCACGCTCGACTATTCTAAGTGCTTGATAGTAAAAGAGCCTTGATAATGTTAAATTTTTTAAGATCACAAAAGGTCTAATTTTTTTTTAATAAATTCATGTTATAGGCCTTAGAGAGAGTCTAATTATACAGTATTGGCTTGACTATTCGGAAGGTAATGTCACAAGGTTGTTTTATTGAGTATAATAATACTAATTACCTATGAATACATAAATTTGACAGAAAAGGTACAAAGGCTTCTAATTAAGATGTTTTATCAAGTAAATCACTGCTTTATTATCATGAATGCATAAAATTGTCCCAAAAAAAGGCACAAACCCTTCAGTAGTAATTGAGATAACAGCTTACAAGCAAAACTTTACCATGAATTTCTAAGTTGAAAAAGGGGAGAAAAATCAGCCTAAATGCAAGATAGAATTATGGATCTTTGTCAGTGACCTACAATTATGACCCTAAATGCATATGTGAAGTTTTAAATATCTTTAATAGTTATTGAGATATGTAAAACTTGCATGTAAACATTAACCAAGAGACTAAATAGAAAAGGGGATATGAATCAGCCTTAATGCAAGATAGAGTTATGGAACTTGGTCAGTGACATACAATTATGACCCTCCAATTATGACCCTAAGTGCATGACTGTGTAAAGTTTCAAGTAAATATCTTTGAAGACCTTTAACCTTTAACCAAAATTTCTAAGTTTCAAAGGGGCAAATAATTCTTCAAATTTTGCAGGCAGAGTTATGCAATTTTGCAAACTGATGTACATTGTTACTATAAAAAAGTATTTTAAATTTCAATTGAATATCTCAAGCAATAATTGAGATATTTGACTTTACAAAAAAACTTTAACCAAAATTTCTAAGTTCCAAAGGGGCATAATTCTGTCAATATTGTAGGCAGAGTTATCCAACTTGTCAATCTGATGTACCTTGTTACTATAAATAAGTATTGTAAGTTTCAATTGAATATCTCAAGCAATAATTGAGATATTTGACTTTACAAAAAACTTTAACCAAAATTTCTAAGTTAAAAAGGGGCATAATTTTGTCAATATTGTAGGCAGAGTTATCTAACTTGTCAATCTGATGTACCTTGTTACTATAAATAAGTATTGTAAGTTTCAATTGAATATCTCAAGAAATTATTGAGATATTTGACTTTACAAAAAACTTTAACCAAAATTTCTAAGTTAAAAAGGGGCATAATTCTGTCAATATTGTAGGCAGAGTTATCCAACTTGTCAATCTGATGTACCTTGTTACTATAAATAAGTATTGTAAGTTTCAATTGAATATCTCAAGTAATGATTGAGATATTTGACTTTACAAAAAACTTTAACCAACGCAGACGCCGACGCGGACGCGGACGCCGGGGCGACTACAATAGCTCTCATATTCTTCGAATAGTCGAGCTAAAAATGATCGGGGGGAATTTAAAGTGGTCGTTTAAGACAAAGGTCGCTTAATACACGTGGTCGCATGGGCAAGTTAGACTGTAAACATATTTCTGAATCAGTTTCAAGAGAGCACTCAAATGTTGAACAATATTGCACCACCTAATATGTGAGCAATTATCTGAAATAAAGACTAAAGAAGGTACATGTCTTTTTAAGGTTATATGGCGACTTTCCAGCTTTACTGGCAGAAGAAGACCTCTGGTGCCAGTCTATGCATTTTGGAGACAAACAGGCACCTGAGTAGAACCACTGCGTTTTGTAAGCTAGCTCTGATAATCTTCCTTACAAGAAAGAATCCAAAGTTCCTGTTGGGATTAAAACCCACAGTAGTGAGGGACAAGTAGTTGTAGCCAAAAATTCTTTCTTGTGGTTTGGTGTAATAACAACACAGATTGCTCATTTATGACAGTTCTGAGATTAAAAATAGGTGATATGTACTATTAAGGATGTCAACAGAAATGCACAGGTTGCACCAATTAGGACATTTACGGCATATAACACACCAGCTATAAGCCTTTAACTTACATTGTTTTGGCTTTAGAACTGCGTAATTGTGCAATTCCCTCAAACCATCCTCGTAAGCCTTAATAGCATCAAACTTTGCTAGCTGTTTGTTTTTATCAAACCTGTCTCTGAGTAAAACCTGAAGATAACGCTGCTCTAAACTGTAATAGAAAAGAAATAAAATTAATATCATGGACCATTTTAATTTTTTTGTTTAACTTGTTTAATGCTAGACTGTTGGGTTTCAATTAAGTCACATCGTCACTGTAAAGCGGCGGCACAAATACCCAAATACACCCAAATAATTAGCAACCCCAGCTGATTTTTCAACATTTTTAAAATGTTATTTTATACGACAGTTGTATAGGTCCTAATTAGAGCTGTTTCCCTTTTTAAAATATTTTGAAAAATAAAAAAGTTATGACAATTTGAAATTTTGCTAAAACCGCAATTTTCTTGAAAATTTCCACTATATAATATGAAAATAAATATCTCGCGAACGCGGCATAGTCAATTTGGTCACGGGTCACCAAATGACATGCAAAGGTATCCGGACCTAAATTCCCGCTAGTCACGTGATAATTAGGGCAGCAATGGCAGTGAATTTTATGAGATGTGAATCCACTGATAAACTTTGAGGCATTATTTCATCAATCTAACGTTCTGTGTTCAAAAATATAGACTGAAGTGTCCCAAATGTATCTAACTACCTGTGTTAAAATAGCTTTTGTCCTGATCATGCAAATTTATTGAATTACAACATGACATAAATATGTCACGGTTCTGGTTGACTTTCGATATGGAATTGGCTTTAGCAAACAGGTCTAGCAGTACTATAAAACCAGTACGCTGAAGTCTCTTTAGCATCCCCTGTATAAAAGGTTATAGCCCGGGTCTCCACGATACCGGTGTACATATTTTATACAAGGTGTTTTTCATATAAAAATTTATTGACTTGAAAAAAAGAAGGAATAAACAACTTCATTAACATTTAATCCTCTTAAAATTACATTACAGAGTTCTGTTACTCTGAAATTCTCGCTCATTGCGAATGTAATTAAACAATGGTCGACCATTTTGTATGACGTAGTTAAACAGCCTTCATGCTACCGGTGCACTGGTAAAAATGTTATTTATATGGAAAGCCATTGCAGTTTTAATAGCAAATATATCATTTTAGCATTCTTGTATTCATTTCTGGAAAAAAAAAAACACTTTAAAACAACATTAAAACGTGTGTTTCAATAATTTACTGTTCATCTTTTATGACTCCCAAGGGATCTCTGTTTTAGAACCTTTTCCTCCCAATTACAGGTGTATATTATACCATGTGGCTGGATTCAAAATTCCCCTTCACTTAATTTAAGTGTTGTTGTGATTGTCTGGTCCTTTTGTATCATTGAATCAATTTTATTTCTATATGATGAAGATAAAATATCAATATGGCACTTTACACAGGCTCCCTTAAAAGACTGAATGAAACTGACTTTTTAATTTTCATAAACTATTTTATATGCACTAATGGCTTTCCATAGATTATTTTTTTCCCGCCGAAAATGATGCCAAAGGTCAAGTGACATGTAATGGAGGTTGAATGACGTCAGCACCTGTCATTTTTTATTTTCTTGGAAAAAAATGTGTTTTGTAGAGAGACTAATTTATGCAATGGAAAAATAGGATAGTAAAATAAAAATAAGGTAGGATATGTGAAATATTTCCTTCAGAAACTCATGAAAATGTTTAAAAACTTTGAAATAGCCAATATTACTGGGAGCATGCCAATATAAACACTCGGTAGGTGGTGTTGACAAAAATATCAGGAGATTTGTTAATATACCGGTACCGTGGAGTCACCGGTATCATGGGGTTCGAGTATATTATTGTGACTTTCCAGCGTTTACTGGTCAGGAGTAGAAGAGAACCTCAGGTTTATTTTTGCGTATGTTCAAGAAATTTGGCATACACAAAGAATTTACTTTTTTTTTTAAATATCAAGCTGTTTTCTAAATTCTATGTTTTCTTTCCAAACAAACTTCTGGGTAATTTTCAAAAAGTTACAACAAACATGGACGATTTGTTTAGCAATGGGTACATTTTTAAATGCACCAGCAAGTACATAATACACTAGAAATACACTAAATCTGATTATTTCAATATCCAAATTAAATCATTAAGTCCGATAAGTCCTTGTAATTTTTTAGATACCCCACCCACCCTTACACAAAGGAGCAAAATGAAAAATTGTACGATAACAAGAAATTATGCAAGTTTGTTTACACTCTATCTTTTCGGTGATATACTTCTGATTCTATTGCCCTGCATCCTTTTTTGTAAAGCATGCACACTTTCTTTGCATGCGAATATGCAGGCCTTCTAAGAATGTTAGTCGACATTTTGGGAATTACGCCATTCGCACCCAAAACTTTTAGAATAATGGCTTTTCGTCCATCGTCATTACGTACTTTATGTTTTGAGTGCTTTACAGTACCGTGAGATGCTTCCTTGCAAAAGGTATACGCCTAATTAAATCCTTGAATGTTTTTGCGAGGATCACAATTCTATTCTAATTAATTGCTGGTTAGATAGAATAAATTGCACGTGATAATTAAACATTACATACAAAAAACTTGATTATGACACGGATTTACATTACATTATTGTAATATAAATCCGTGATTATGATAAATGAGACCATTAATATAGGCATTGTAACATAAAGAAACTATTAAAAGCATATTTATTGACAATTGTGAATAAAGAAGACTATTAATAATTAAACAAATTACCAGAACAAGCCAAATGATCCGTTATACCTATGTACATGCAACTCTATTATTTTTCTATATATCGTGTTGTTGAGGGAAGATTTAGATAAATACTCCATTTGCATGTACAATGATATAAAACGTCGTTAAAATATCATGCCCTCTTCTCTGGAAAATTCTTCAAAATTAATTCAGGTTAAGTTATAAATCGTTATTGAAAAACCTTAAAATTATTGCAGAGAATAAACAGCATTCTGTTCCCTCTGGTAGGGAGACCTAACAGAACAATGGAAAAAAATCCGACTTGGCTTTATTAATTCCCTTATAACGAGATGGAAGAGGCAAAACTTTTTTAGTACATGTAAAATGGTTAACACATTTTTGCATAAATTTGTTTCAATTATTATTGTCTTTTAACATGCAAAGATTTAAAATATGCTGCCCTCTAGTTTACAGATGCATCTGCTTTGCCTTCCAAAAAAGTTATAGTACAATAGGTATAACAACACTCATCAACAATTAAAAACTTTATTTTCATTTTATAATCGAGATGAGGCCACAGTCTACATCAAACCATTTAATAGCTGTAAAATATCCTTCCATCATGCAATTAATCATTTGTCAATTATTTACAATTTGTTTGGATTAATTTTTAGAAGACTCATATCCCATGCATTCTCATATGGGCCTAAGAACTTCTCGGCCATCTATTTAAAAAGAGTCCGCCGTCAAAGTGAGAAAAAAAATCTTGAAAAATATGGAAAAGGGGTGATCATTCGGAAGTAATGAAAACAACAATATATGAGCCGCGTCACGACAAAACCAACATAATGGGTTTGCGACCAGCATGGATCCAGACCAGCCTGCGCATCCGGATCCATACTGTTCGCTTGCCAACTCTGTAACAAGTAGAGAAACTGATAGCGAACAGCATGAACCCTGATCAGACTTCGCAGATGCGCAGGCTGGTATGGATCCATGCTGGTCGCAAACGCACTATGTTGGTTTTGTCGTGACGCGGCTCATATATTACATGAAAATTGCAGACTCAGTTTGACCGAGTCTGTTCTTGAGGGAAAATGTAATGTGCAACACCTCTCATGCCCCTAGCACCGGTTTAAGCGGTATTGAATCTTCAACACGAACGTGCCGGAATCAATTATCCCTCGGTGCAGAAGAAGAATTATAAGCAACACTGAAAGTGAAGAACGGGACCTAGGGGACTAAGTCGAAATTAATTTTAAACGTTGTTTAGCGTTGTCAATTTATTACTATTATTATTATCCACATATGGTGATCGAGTATTTTACTTGAATTGTTTTTTTTTCTGTATAATGATAAAATTATTTTAATATTTTCTATATATGCAGTTTATTAGTTTATTTCAGTCTCTTTCATATGCATACATATATACATAAAACATATTAAAAATTGATAAAAAGTACATATGACCATTCTACAATAGAATTATAAGAGACTATATCATGTATATACTTATCATTATCATTATATGCACGCTACTCCGTTTTATTCCGGAGCGGGTGCTAACAACACGAAATTTGTGCAGTTTAATTGTTTGCATATTGTATGTATGGTCAAAGGATGGCTATTTTCCCTTGTAAAGGAGGTAAATGACTTGATCTAGGTCAGTAAAAAAGGCATACAAATTAGTATGCTTAAATGCTTGATGTATTATAAATACTCCTCTAGTGAACTTCGATAAGGTCATTTCCGAATTAAAGAATTTGTGCAATGGCTTTGCCCTGCATTGAATATGCAACAGTTCATTTAAACTTTATGAGATGTTAAGATACAAAAAATAGCTGCTAATAGTTAAATGCTTGGTCAAAATGTAGGGATAGACTTGCCTGGCTTTTGCCTAATAGCAAAGGCTGGCCATTTTCGTTTCCAGCAAACACGTTAAATCGAAGGTGACAACGCGATTTGTATGGTAATTTTATGTATAAATTAACATACAGCGTGATTTGCAGATCTAATTTTACGCGAAATTTGATTGAAATTTAATTAGAAATTGAGTACAGGATTCTGTACATATGCCAGATATAAAGGACTCCATTATTTTTCTAGTATTTTGTTGACATTTTTTACAAATAATACAGAAGATTTGACAAAGCCTTAACCAGCTCCAGGAGTGTAGACACTGATTGCTCACAGGCGCGGGGCTATTTGTGTTGACTTTTTTTTTGTCCATGGGCCCGATTTTTATCAAATAATCCCTTCGATTTACAGTAAAAAAAAATAAATTCGCAATCAAAAACTCCTTCCGATTTCTATTATGTAAAGTCATATACATGTATTGTTTTCCCCTTATTTCAGTGATTCACAGCATGTCATATTAATGAATGAGAACGGGAACAATTAAATTTCACGCTAAGCAGTATAACTCTGTTACAAGGTTAGCTTTTAAAAAAGCTAGTAGCGACTCGCTTCGTAATTTTCTTCCAGGGGTGCGTTTAAATGTAAAAATGACAGTTCTGTTAGCTGAAGAGACTTCAGCGAACATCAAAATAAAAGTGACATAAAGTTATGGAAGCCAGTTCTCTCAGTTTAACAAAGAGGAATATGAGTATATATGAAGATGCATGTAAACAGATAGAATGAAGTCCCTATGTCTATGCACATTTACTGTATGGCCTGTTGACCTTGACCAAATAAATGTTAGATAGGTAGAATTCATAAAGATGTCTCTTTATACGAAGTTAAGTTGTAATATGTTATTTAGTATTGGAATGAGTGACAGACACAAGTCCTAAAGTAAACACAAGTTGTCAATCAATTCAGCCAGAAAAGCCGGGATCCTATTAAAATATAGGGATCCCGGAAATTGACCAGTCTAAGATTTTTTTCAGATAAGCCGGGATCCTATTAAAACATATAGGGGGATCCTATTAAAACATATAGGGAACCCGGAAATTGACCAGTTCAAGAATATAGTTTTCAGAAAAGCCGGGATCGTATTAAAATATAAAGAGATCCCAGGAATTGGCCAGTTCAAGAATATAGTTTTCAGAAAAGCTGGGATCGCATTAAAACATAAAGGGATCCCGGGATTTGACCAATTCAAGAATGTATTATTTGATTTTTCCAATTAAATAGGCATATTATGATAAGTATTGGGATTTCCGCATTTTAAGTTTGTTAATAAATAGCTCTAAATATATTTATATCCTAAGTTTAATTAATTTAACGTTCATTACATACAATAAAAAAACCTTAACGTTTAATGTCCTTTCATTACGACAATAATCAACACAATTATAGTTTATTAGTTTTTCCTCTATATCTTATACGATCCCGGATCCCGGCCAGTCCGGGCCTCCCGGACCCCGGCCAGTAAATATGTACACTAAATACCGGAAATGATAAAATTACCGTAAAAAAGGAAAAAGAAAAAAATGCACAGAACCAGATGTACACTTATGTTAATTAACCAAACGAAAACTTACTACAGAGGAACAGGTGAGATCGCTAAAACAAAAGTCAGTGTAAATATGATTTTTTGAAAAGAATTCATGAAAACAAACATTTTAATCATCATTATATCTTGGCGCTCAAAATAATACTTGCTGCTTTTTAAATATGGCGTGAAAATTGAAGGTTTTTTGACGCTATGTTAGATTAAATTTGATTGGCTAAATCATTTTGGATCCTAGCCCTGATAGATAAATTTTGTAGAAAGCTGGAAGCCAAGCTTCGATTAAATTTTTGGATGGATTCGGAGTTTTAGGTTGTTTTTTCAGTAAAATCCTAACGTAATACCGGCTCGCCACGGCGAGCCGGCAAAAAAGAATTAGATATTGTTCATGTATTAGTACAGTTATGTTTACTTTTAAATGGACCGGGTATAAATAATGGCACAATCAACAACTGTCTAAGCCAGTTTTTAGTAAAAATGATTATAACATGTATAAATTGTTATTTTAATTAAGACTATGAGTATGTAAGTTTTTCTTTTTCTTATTTATATTAATTAAGAATTAATCTGCTTGTTACTTAAAATATATGTAACATTTAGAACTGTTCACTTTTTAGGGGAGAAATTGTGTAAGCAGCCAGCTCAATCGCTACAGCCGCGGTTCATTATTCTGTGGCTCACATGTTCGAGTTCTGGTCAAGCTGAAAGTTTTTCTCAACCTGTGACTGCATATAACCCAGAGTTTAATTCACTATGCTCTGTAAACATCAGAAATTCGAGGACAAATATCAATATAGTGGGGAAATATGGTTTAGAACTGTTCATTATTAAAGAGATAATATGTAGCCGGCCGTATATATCAGTTGATTTTTCTGACAGTCATCGGTTCGATTCATGCTGGTCAGGCAGTTTCAGTCAGGATTTAGAAGTGGTTTTTCAACTGACACATGTTTGATTCATTTAACAGATTGTAATAAATTTGAAATAGACAAAGGCAGTATTGTATGCATGGTACTTTTAGATCTATAAAAGGCATTTGATACAGTTGACACAGGAAACTTCAAGCATTTGCCATAGGTAATGACATTCTTATATGGTTCAAGTCTTATCTCTGATAGACAGCAGTTTGTGGATGTGTGGCTGGTATTCATTCTTCTACTGCTTCCAAGTACCTATTTAGGTCCTCTTTTATGTCTAATATATGTCAATGACATGTCTGCAACCTTAAGCAATAAG